GCGAGTAGGGCATTTGCCTTGCATGTGGCCCACCTGGGTTTGATCCCTAGCATCCCATATGATTCCCCGAGCACCCCGAGTTATTTCTGACTGCAGAGCCAGGAGTAACCTTTGAGCATTGCTGTCCCCCTGCCATCCACCCCTCACCACAAAGAAAAGGGGGAAAACCAAACCCCAAAAATCCTGCATGCATTGGGGCCAGAGCAGTTGTGCAGTGGGTAGGGTGTTTGCCTCGCACATGGCCGATCTGGGTTCAATCCCCGGCATCCCATATGGTCCCCTAAGCACTGCCAGGAGCAGTTCCTGAGTGCGGAGCTAGGAGTAACCCCTGAGCATCACTGGATGTGGTGCCTGTCAAAAGCAGATAAATCAAAGAAAAAACAAGAAAAAAACAAAAAAACCTGCATGCAAAGCTTGCACTCCACTCCATTGAACTCTGTGACCTTTTTTTTTTGGGGGGGGGGTGAACCATACCCAGAGGTGCTCAGGGGCTATTTCCAGCTCAGTCCTCGGGGGTCATTTGTGGTGGTGCTTCAGGGACGCCCTGGAGCTGGGGGATGAATCCAAGGACTCTTGCATGCGAAGCCTGTGCTCCAGCTCTTGGAGCCTTCACCCCCAAACTTGTCCCCTACTATGAACCATTGCCCTTCCCTTTGACCTCTGCTCGACCCACCTCTCCCCTAGAAATACAAGAAGCCCAAGTTTATCCCTTGCTTTGTGTTCCTCCCGGATGGAAGCATTCTCACTGGGGACTCAGAGGGGAACATTCTCACCTGGGGACGGAGCCCTTCAGACACCCGGACTCCAGGCCGAGGGGGGGCCAAAGGTACGCCACTGGGTTTAGCCTGGAGACGTCGCATTCCCTGGGCGGGTTTATGGGAAACGTAGGAGAGGACTGCCCAGCCTTGTACCATGGTTCTTTGTAGGTCCTGCTGGGGCCCTGTGATGGGGTGGGGTGAGGGTAGGGGGCAGTCTAGAAGGGAAGGGGGGCAGCAAGGCAGTCAGGAAGGGGCTGAGTTTTGGCATCTGCCAGATCCTGGCCTCAAATCTCAGATGTGGCCCTAGTTTCTGGCCTGGTGCAAGTTTCCTCAGTTCTTTGAGCCTCGGTTATCCCGTCTGTACAATGGGGAGAATAATTGCTAAGGATCAGAAACCCTTTTCAGGGGGCACTCAGTGCCTAGGAGTTGCGGTCACGAGAGCCAGAGCTGCCCCCATTTCCCCCTTCCCTGCACCCCAAGACCTTACTTGGGGGCTTTGCCGACAGAGACCTACGGGATCGTGGCCCAGGCGCATGCGCACGAAGGTTCCATCTTTGCCCTGTGTCTCCGGCGGGACGGGACGGTGCTGAGTGGTGGCGGGCGGGACCGTCGGCTGGTCCAGTGGGGACCCTCCCAGCCAGGGCCCGGGTTGGTGGCTCTCCAGGAGGCTGAGGTGAGGGCTGGGCGAGGTGGCAGGGGTGGAGAGGAGAGGGAGGAGGACTCAGCCCCCTGACCGGATCTCTGCCACCACCCTGCAGATTCCTGAACATTTTGGGGCCGTCCGTGCCATTGCCGAGGGGCTCGGCTCGGAGCTGCTGGTGGGGACCACCAAGAACGCATTACTCAGGGGGGACCTGGCCCAGGGCTTTTCCCCCGTCATCCAGGTAGGGGGTTGCGGGGGCTGAGGGAGGAGGCAGGGAAGAAGTGTCGGGAGGGGAGGGACAGAGGTGACCCTCCCCCCCCTTCTGCTGCAGGGCCACACAGATGAGCTGTGGGGACTCTGCACACACCCCTTCCGAAACTGTTTTCTCACCTGCGGCCACGACCGGCAGCTCTGCCTGTGGGATGGGGAGGGCCACGCGCTGGCCTGGAGCATCGACCTCAAGGTACAGCCTGTGTCTGCGTGTCCAGGGCCGCCCCCACCCCCCACTCCTGTGGCCAGCACCCATCCCCACATCCATCCCCTTTCCTCCTGCGCCCCGGGAGCGGCCAGTCTGTGCGGCTCTGTTCTAGCTGGTGAACAGACTATTCATTCTCTGGTGCCCTCGGAGCGCTGCCCACGCCCCACACTTCCCCCAGATCCGGCAGCAGCCCCGCCCCGCCTGGGGACCCGGGCCTGGGGCGAGATGCTTTGAGGAGGACAGCTGCCCCTTGGGCACCACGAACCCCACCCTTGTCAGCCTCCCTGCCGTCTGCGGCTGGACGGGGAGATGACACCGTGTCTGGCTTGTTGGAAAGGCAGCTTCCTGAATCTCCTTCTCCCCTGCCTGCCAGGAGACTGGGCTCTGTGCTGACTTCCACCCCAGTGGGGCCGTGGTGGCCGTAGGACTGAGCACAGGGAGGTGAGCAGGGACCCGGGCTCTGCGGGGGCAAAAGCACCAGGTAGAAAGCGTTTCCGGTCATGGGGTGGGGGTTGGAAGAGCCCCGTGTCATCTTTTCAATTTCCGGTGTGTCTCCCAGAGCTGGCTCTGCGGGACTCCTGTGCTGGCCCCTCCCTCCTGGAGGATGGAGAAGCAGTGGATGAGAGGGACAGAGGGGAGACCAGGCCAGGAAGTGGTTGGCTTGCAGATTCCAGCGGGTCCTGTGGTTGGCCCATTTTTCTGGCAGCAGCCTAAGCCCCCGACTTTTCTCTGCCCTCAGTCCCCTGTCTGTCCCAGCTGTCTGGGCCAGAGCCTTTATGTATGTGGCTCTCAGGGGGTCCAATTTCCCCCACCTGTCCGGGAAGGGTCCCTCACCTGTTCCTGGCCCCACCTTCCTGCAGGTGGTTGGTGTTAGACACGGAGACCAGAGAGATCGTGTCCGACATCACGGATGGCAATGAGCAGCTTTCAGTGGTCCGGTACAGCCCAGGTGGGAGCCCCCCCCCCCATCTCCCATCCCCCTCCCCCTGCCTTTGGGCCCAGTCCGATCCTTGGCTCTTCCCTGTCTGAGCGGCTGTCCTTGCAGATGGGTTGTACCTGGCCATCGGTTCTCACGACAACATGATCTACATCTATAGTGTTTCCAGCGATGGGGCCAAGTCCAGCCGCTTTGGCCGCTGTGTGGTGAGGAAGTTGGGCGGGTGTGTGTGGCTTAAGCAGAGCAGGGCAAGTGCCTGGGGGCGGGGAGCGGTACCTGGTGGGAAGAGATGGCCCATTCTTTTAAGTCTCTTGGCCCTTTCCCCCAGGGTCACTCCAGCTTCATCACTCACCTTGACTGGTCCAAGGATGGGAACTACATCATGTCCAATTCCGGGGACTATGAGATCCTTTACTGTGAGTGGCCCTGGGGAAGGGCAGAGGAGAGGGTCACTGGGATGGGCTTTGCTTATGTGTATGGGGGGGATGTTTCCAGGTGGGAGGAGGCTGAAGGAGCCTTTACGAGAAGGGACTGCACTGGCGTTAGAATTATACACATAGGAGGACATTGTGTAATTGCAGGGGGGTAAGGGGAGGGCCCTGTCTTTGCACTCAAGGATCACTCCCTGCGGGTTTGGGAGGACCATAAGGGGTGCCAGGGATTGAACCGGGGTTGGCTGTGGGCAAGGCAAGTATACTATGCCCTGCACTATTGCTCTTGCCTCCAAATCCACATTTTTAAATATAACCATAAGGACTTGAAAAGGTCCCTGAAAGGACTTGGTTAAGCTTCTTAGGCAGGTGGGTGGGTAATTTAGGGAGCTGCTCAGACTTCAGGAACTGGGGGGGGGGGGGGAACCGGGGGTGTGTGCCCTGGCTTTGCTCTGATCTGTGCCACTGCCTGAAGTTTTGCCCAACTTGACCTTCCGGCATCTTCTGATTGAGCGCCGCCGGGTGGGTGGGCCCCCTCTCCCCAGGGGATGTGGCAAGCGGCTGCAAGCTGCAGCGGAATCGCTATGACAGCCGCGACCGGGAATGGGCCACCTACACCTGCGTGCTGGGCTTCCACGTGTACGGTGAGCCGCGGCGGGGCGCCCCTGCGCGGGAGTGCGGGGGGCCGGGGTGGGGGTGAGCACGGCGGAGCCCACTGGGGGCTCGCCCTGCGGGGCCCTGGGTCCAGGGGTGGGCGGCGGCGGCGGGCAGGAGGCGGGGCTGAGGCCAGCCGCTGTGCTAGGCGTGTGGCCCGACGGCTCGGATGGCACCGACATCAACTCCCTGTGCCGCTCGCACAACGAGCGCGTGGTGGCCGTGGCCGACGACTTCTGCAAGGTGCATCTCTTCCAGTACCCTTGCGCGCGCGCCAAGGTGAGCCGCGCGGGGCGTCCGGGGATGTCCCGGGGCCGGGCGGGCGGGCCGGACCCGGCGGGGCGGAGCCGCCACTCCCCTCTGCCTCCCGCCCAGGCACCGAGCCTCGTGTACGGGGGCCACGGCAGCCACGTGACCAGCGTCCGCTTCACGCACGACGACTCGTACCTCGTCTCGCTGGGCGGCAAGGACGCCAGCATCTTCCAGTGGCGCGTGCTGGGCGCCGGCGGCGCGGGGCCGCCGCCCACCACGCCCTCTCGAACCCCGTCCCTGTCCCCCGCCTCCTCCCTGGACGTCTGACCGCGGCCCGACGGCGGGGCGCCCCGGCCCCTCGGACTCTTTTCCCTGACTTCGAGACATTCCTGATCGCGCATTCCCCTGGAGGGGGCGGGCACCCCAGCACACACTGTACAGACCCGCGGGCTGAGCCGGGCGGCCGGGTCCCGGGCTTTGACTCCTGCTGCCAGCCCCGTGGGGCAATAAAGCCAAAGCAGAGACGCCTCCCAGTGCTTTTGTGCGGCGCGCCCGCGGGGGAGCCCCCTGGGGCACGAGGAGCTGGGCAAAGGGGAGTGCGGAAAGGGGACGGGAGCGTTCGCCGTTCGCGCGGGTGAGCGGCAGCGCCACCGCCCTGGAGGCGGCGGCGGGGCGCTCGGACGCCCGCCCTTCCCGCGCTTCTGCGGGGCTCCGGCGACTCGAGGGTTAACTCCTCCCCACCCCGCCCGGCCCGCGCCGCTCCCGCCCTCCGGGGAGGGGCCGAACGCTGACGGAAATAGCCGAGCGCCGGGCCGCGGCGGGCGGAAGGAGCCGAGCGTCTTCCGGAAGGAGCCGAGCCGCCGGGGTCTCACTCGCCGAGCCGAGCCGAGCGCGGGGCCTTGTTCTCCGGGGCGGCCGAAGGGGGTTCCGGAAGGCGGCGAAGCCCGGCGTCGGCGGGTGCGGCGGGGGGTGCTCGGCGCGGCCGTGGGGGGCGCCGGGGCCTGGCTCCGGGCCGGCGCCGGCCTCAGCGTCCCGAGCGTGCGGGCCGGGATGCGCCGCGACGGCTGAGGCAGCGGCGGTGCCGGCTGCGCGCGCCCGCCCGCGACTTCCGCGAGCCGCCCGGCCCGCGCCCCGGGCCTCGCCGCGCGCCCGGGCCTGCCCCGCGAGCCCCCCGCGTCCTTTGTGCGGCCGGCGGCGGCGGCGGGAGCGGCCATGGCGGCCAACATGTACCGGGTGGGGGGTGAGTACCGGGCGCGGGGCCCCGGGGTCCCGAGCGCGGGCCGGAACCGGAACCGGGGAGCCCCCGGGGCGCGAGGGCGCGCGGGGACGGCGACGCCGCGGGCAGCCCCGACGGCGCGCGGGGGGCGCGGGACGCCGGTTCCGGGGCGTGCGGGGAGGCGCGGGGTGGGTCCAGCCGGGCCCGGGACGGGGAAGCGGCGGGAGGTTCCCTCGGCCCCGGCCGTCGTGCGCGCCCTGCCCGGCGCCGGGCCGAACAATTAGGGGGCAGCAGCCCCGTCCGCTGGGGTTGGGGGGACTGGCCGCCGCGGAGCCCTGCGTTGCTCGCCCCTTCCTCGAGCCTCACTTGCCACATCCGATCTGAGTTTTATCAAGAACCCCGGGGCGGCGAGGGCTTCACGCCGTACGTTCGGTCCACGGTCCACGTTGTATTTGTTTTTTTGGGCCACACCCGGTGGTGCTCAGGGCTTTACTCCCGGGCCGTGCGCTCCGGGACCCTCGCTCCTGGCGATGCTGGGGAACCTTGCGGGGGTCCCGGGGATCGAACCCGGGATGCCGCGTGCGAGTCCAGCAGCGCCCTCCTTGCAGGACTCTCTCTGCGGCCTCTGCCATGCCCGTCCAGTGGCCCGTCCTCCCCCCACCCCCCAGGCCTGTCCCCCTAGCCCAGAGCTCTGCTTCCCTCTTCCCTCCTGACCCTCTGCTCTCCCCTCCCCTCCCCTCCCCCAGATTACGTCTATTTTGAGAACTCCTCTAGCAATCCTTACCTGGTTAGACGGATTGAGGAGCTCAACAAGGTGAGTGAAGCCGAGCCCTCCCCCTCCCCCTGCTTTCAAGGTCTCTAACTTCAGTTGGGGTGGGATGGAGCGGGAGGGGGGTGGGGGGTGGAGAACCCCCGTTCTAAGGCTCTGTTCCTAGCCCTTCATTGCTCCCCTGGGTTCAGGACAGGCTGTAGAGTAAGTACTTAATGGAAACTTCACTGCGACTCTAGACACTTAGTCACTGTGAGCCTCGGCTTAGTGCCTTTTCACTTTGAAAATGACCGTTTTCCACTGCCCTTTCCCTCCCCCCCTTTTTAGACTGCAAATGGAAACGTGGAGGCAAAGGTGGTCTGCCTCTTCCGGCGAAGGGACATTTCCGGTAGCCTCAACAACCTGGCAGACAGTAACGCCAGTGAGTGTCTTTTTCAAACCCTCCACTCTCCCCCCACCCCCGCCCCCAACGCCTGGTCCTTGTCTGAGGCCTGGGCACGTCCCTCTCTATCCTGGTAGCATGCCCAAGGCAGGGCTCGGGAGTCGGGGGTGGGAATGCCTGGCGTGGAGGTGGGCAGGTTTTTACTTGTTGGCGTTGGAGGCAGGGTGGAGAGACCATGATAAGGAGAGCCAGAGTGTGGTTTCTTGTGGGTGTATGCGTGGTGTGTAGGGTACGTGGAAGAGACTCTGAATAAAGGCTGAGCCGGAGTTTGAGAGCAGCAGGAGAGCTTTGGAAATGTTGGGACCCGGAGAAGGGTGCCTGGAAAGGTCAAGGTGAAGAGGAAGAGGCTGTACTAGAAACTTGCTTATCTGGAAACAGACATGGTTTAGGACCACGTGGTGGTCTGGGGAACTGGGACATCTGGAGGTGCTCAGGGCTTACTCCTGGCAGGGCTGGGGTGTGTTTGTTGTGTGTAGGGCGGGGATCATGTCCTGCGTGCCTGCATTCAAACTCAGGTTGGCCTTAACCCCCCTGCGTGCGCTCTCTGGCACAGGAAGTTATTCAGAAGTGTGTTTTGTTTTGAGGCCACGCCTGGGGTTGGGGTGCTCTTGCTACTCCAGGCTGTGTGCTCCAGGTCCCCTGTGCAGTGATCACGGGGACCATGTGGTGCGTGGGATGGAACCCTGCCTCCCACAGGCAAAGCGCACTCAGCCCAAGACCTTTTCTTTTCCACCCAGTTGTTTTTCTTTCTGGGTCACACCCGGGGATGCTCCGGAGTTAATCCTGTCTCTGCACTCGGGAATTGCTCCTGGTACTGCTGGGGGATGGGGAGACCCTATAGGATGCTGGGGATCAATTCAACCTGGGTCAGTCACTGCAAGACAAATCCCCTTCCCTCTGTCCTATCGCTCCAGCCCCTCAAGCCAGTTTTTTTGTTTTTTTGTTTTTTTGCTTTTTTGGTCATATCTGGCGATGCACAAGGGTTACTCCTGGCTCTGCACTCAGGAGTTACTCCTGGCGGTGCTCAGGGGACCATATGGGATGCTGGGAATCGAACCCGGGTCCGCCGCGTGCAAGGCACGCCCTACCCGCTGTGCTCTCTCTCCAGCCCCTCAGTCCATTTTTTAAACTTTTTTTAGCACTTTTTCCATCCTCGCTCTGTTTTCCTCTCCGCTCCATTTTACATCTTCCCTCTTTTCCCTGTATTTTCTTTATGCTTGTGGAGGGAAGCCCCTTTCCTTCCATTTTTAGGAGTAGGTTCTTTACCCGCTGTACTCCTTCCCCAGCCTTCTGTTAAGTTCTTTCCCCTCCGCTTTTTATTCCCCTGAACTCTTCTGCTTGGGCTCCCCCCACCCCCTCTTTCTTAGGGGGTGGGATTGAATGCTTGGTCTCACCCTTGTGAAGGCAGCATTGTGCCCCTGAGCTCCAATTCCCAGCTGTGTTTTGGCTCTCTTTCCCCCTTTGTTTCTGCTCAGATTATCTTGTTTCAGACTGCTCTGGCCGTGTAGGGGTTAAGGAGGAGCTGGGCCTACCAAAAGTTCCCTCGCCCTCTGGGGGGATTTTCTGCCCCATCTGGCAGGGGCTGACCTTGGCCTTGTCCAATCAGAAGGGGTCTGGGGGGTGTGGTCCCTGGCCTCCCACAAGCCCTGAGACTAGGGTGGAGTCTGCCCCACCCCCACCCCTTGAGGGTGAAACAACGCACCAATGAGCCTCTGACCCGGGTGCTTCTGCTCCGCCCACTTGGCCTGGCACCGGGCCAGGTTAACCCTTTCCTCCAAGGTCTCGGGGCAAGTTGCAGCTCCTTGGGGAGGAAGGTGTTGGCACTGGCTCGAGAAGTACTGTCCTTAAAAGCCCCACAAACAAACTATTATTAGCCAAGTAGAAAGCGAGGGATAGTTGGGATGGCATGTGATGTGCTAGAGCGGAGTCTCCTGAAGTCGGAAAAGGGGAACTGGTAAATGCAGCCTGGGCGGCGGGTTTCCCTCCGGCGGGCTTGCCGGACCTCAGGCCGGTTTCAACAGAGAGCGCTGTGCTGTGCTGGCGGTGCTAGGGCCTCGTGTGTGCTCTCTGAGCTCTGGCTGTTTCTCTGTGTGGCATCCTTGACTCACACAGTTCTGCACCCAGTGTTGGTGGTAGAGAGAGGCAAGAACTCTAATGTGGACTAACTAGGACGGAGGCAAAGCTGCAGTCCGGGCAGGGCAGGGAAGTGATCTAGGGAAGGTGAGAAAAACTGCGGGGATACAAAATGGTTTCTCAGGGCCGGAAAGACAGTACAGGGGTAAGGTGTGTGTGGTGCACACGGCCAACTTCGGTTCCATCCCTGGCACCCTGCGTGATCGCCCAGGCACTGCCCAGTGTGACTCCCAAATCCAAAAATAAAGAGGAAAATAAAATGTCCTCCCTGGGTTGGAGTTGCCCCGGTGGCTTCTTTCTCGACTGGCTTTGGACTCGGTTTCTTCCTCTGTTGCCTCCTAGGGGAGTTTGAAGAGGAATCAAAGCAGCCAGGGGTGTCGGAGCAGCAGCGGCATCAGCTGAAGCACCGGGAGCTTTTCCTCTCCCGGCAGTTTGAATCATTACCAGCTACCCACATACGGTAAATTTAGGACAGGCAGGGCCACCGTGGCCGGCACACGCGGGGAAGGTGGCGAGGGGCTGGGGGTGGGTTGCAGATGCTGTGGAGATGGAATGAGGGGCTCACTCAGGGTGTGCCGACCTCTCTCCCATAGGGGGAAGTGCAGTGTGACCCTCTTGAATGAGACGGATATCTTGAGCCAGTACCTGGAAAAGGAGGTGAGAAATTGGGGGGTAGGGGAGTGTGGGGGCTCGGGTACTGCTCCCTAAGGCAGTAGATAAAGAGGACTGTAGGAAGGGTGGAGCACGGGGAAGGTGCTCCCTCCACCCCACCTGGGATCCTGCTTGCTTACTTTCTTCTTTCTCCTCCAGGACTGCTTCTTTTACTCACTGGTGTTTGATCCTGTGCAGAAGACACTTTTAGCCGATCAAGGGGAGATCAGAGTTGGCTGCAAATACCAAGCTGAGATTCCAGAACGCCTGGTTGAGGGTGAGGAACAGGACACACTGGCTCGTGGCTCAGCGCAAGGTCCCCGGAGGTGTCTGCTGTGCGCGGTCTGCGTGGCTCTGTGTCCTCATGCAGCCAGATCAGGGCGTCCGGGAACCCGAGAGGACCCGGGTGGGAAGTGAGCGGAGCGAGAGGGGGTTGCGGACAGAACCGAGCAGGGCGCGTGAGAAACCGGGGCTGTGACACGACACCCCAGAGTCTCCCCTTCCCCTGCCCTGACGTGGGGCTCGTCCTGTTCACCAGGAGAATCTGATAATCGGAACCAGCAGAAGATGGAGATGAAGGTCTGGGACCCAGACAATCCCCTGACCGACCGACAGATCGACCAGTTTCTCGTGGTGGCCCGGTGAGGGGTGGGTGGATGGCAGACGGGCTGTGGGAGGCGTGGACTGCCCGGCTTCTGAGGCCCTTCCACGGGCAGCCTGGGAGGTTTTCTCCACACTCTGGTTTCCTTTCCTTTCTTCGTCCGACTCCGATGTGATCAGCCTGGCTAACCCCTTCCTCCTTCCTCCTTGACGTCTCCGTCTCTCCCTCAGAGCCGTCGGGACCTTCGCCAGAGCCCTGGACTGCAGTAGCTCCATCCGGCAGCCCAGTTTGCACATGAGTGCCGCTGCTGCCTCCCGAGACATCACACTGGTGAGCACGGCCGGCCGGGATGTGCTCAGGCTGGGCTTGGCGGGCTATGGGGGAGCGTGGTGGGGGGGTGCCTCAGACCCCTCAGTCGACCGTGTGTTGCCCTTCCCGTAGTTTCATGCCATGGATACCTTGCAAAGGAATGGCTATGACCTGGCCAAGGCCATGTCGACCCTGGTGCCCCAGGGTGGCCCCGTGCTGTGTCGCGATGAGATGGAGGAGTGGTCGGCCTCCGAGGCCATGCTGTTCGAGGAGGCCCTGGAGAAGTATGGGAAGGATTTCAACGATATCCGCCAGGACTTTGTAAGTAGGTGGTGCTCCGAGAAGAGACAAAGAGGGTGGAGGTGAGGGTTAGGCCCTGGACCTGGGGCTGACTTTTTTTTTTTTTTTTGGTTTTTGGGTCACACCCAGCGATGCTCAGGGTTCACTCCTGGCTCTGCACTCAGGAATCACTCCTGGCAGTGCTTGGGGGACTATGGGATGCTGGGGATTGACCCCGGGTCAGTCGCGTGCAAGACAAATGCTCTACCCGCTGTGCAATCACTTTTGCCCCTGGCTCATTCTCTGTCTTACTGCCTTTTTTCTAGCTACCTTGGAAGTCGCTCGCCAGCATTGTCCAGTTTTATTACATGTGGAAGACCACAGACCGCTATATCCAGCAGGTAAGGGTCTCAGGCAGGGCAGGCGGGCCTCCCGCTGCCCTCTGTCTCGGTGACCTCTCCGCCCTCATTCGTCCCTTTTCCCCTTTGCGCAGAAAAGGCTGAAAGCAGCTGAAGCCGACAGCAAGCTGAAGCAGGTCTACATCCCCACCTAGTGAGTGCGGGCGGACAGCTGGGCGGCAGGTGATGGGCAGCGTGGCCTCTGTTCACCCAGCCGGCACCTGCTGTGGGACTGGGCTGTGGATTCTTGTTCTCTGACCCATTGCTTCCTTCCTCCTTCCCCCGTTTTTCCTTCCTCCTTCCCCCGTGCAGCACTAAGCCAAATCCTAACCAGATCATCTCTGTGGGTTCAAAACCTGGCATGAATGGGGCCGGATTCCAGAAGGGCCTGACTTGCGAGAGTTGCCACAGTGAGTACTGGGGGCTGCTGGATGCTGGCGGGTGGGAGGGCTGGGTCCGAGGACCTCCGGGCCTCATTTCCCCCTTCTCCGTGCTCCTGCAGCCACCCAGTCTGCCCAGTGGTATGCCTGGGGCCCACCCAACATGCAGTGCCGCCTCTGTGCTTCCTGTTGGATCTACTGGAAGAAATACGGGGGCCTGAAGACCCCCACCCAGCTCGAGGGGGCTGCCCGGGGCACCACAGTAAGGACTGGCTGGGGACCAGCAGGGAGGTGTGTTGGGTCGAGGTGAGGGCCCCCAGCTCTTCCTGTGGTCGGTACGAGATGGGTAGAGGTCGGGGGGAAGGACTGACTTCTCTGCACGCGTGCCGGAGACCAGAGGGAGCTGCGGGGCCCGTCTCTCCCCTCCCTTTCCCTGTGTCCCCCTAGGAGCCACATTCGCGGGGTCATTTGTCCAGACCCGAAGCCCAGAGTCTGTCCCCGTACACGACCAGCGCCAACCGGGCCAAGTTGCTGGCCAAGAATAGGCAGACGTTCTTGCTCCAGACCACCAAGCTGACGCGCCTGGCCAGACGCATGTGCAGGGACCTGTTACAGCCCAGGAGAGCTGCCAGGCGGCCGTATGCCCCCATCAACGCCAATGCCATCAAGGCAGAGTGTAAGGGCAGGAATGGGGGGCGGGGGGCGGGGGGCGGGAATGAGAGGTTTGTGGCTACTATCGCCAGAGATCAGTGATTTGGATGTGTAATGACTAAAATCTGGCTTGTTACCTGGATAGCACCGTCCTGTAGCACCGTTTGAGTGGGCACCATTAACGTCTCCATTGTGAGACTTGTTGCTACTGTTTTTGGCGTATCAAATATGCCACGGGGAACTTGCCAGGCTCTGCGGTGCGGGTGGGATACTTTCTGAGGCTCTCCAAGAGGGATGGAGGAATTGAACCTGGTTGGCTGCGTGCAGGGCAAACGCCCTACCCGTTGTGCTGTCGCTCCTACACAACTTGGATAGATTTTTTTTGGAAACTTTTTTTCTTTCTCTTTTTCCTCTTTTCGGGTTTGGGCCACCCCCGACTGTGCTCAGGGCTTACTCCTAGCTCTGCACTCAGGAATCTCCCCTGGGGGTGCTTGAAGGGGACCATATGTGGTGTTGGGGGTTGAACCCAGGTTGGCCAAGTATGAGGCAAACGCCCAACTCCTAGTACTATTGCTCTGGCCCTGGGAAGGTTTTTTTCAAGTTAAAAGAAAAGCTCCTTGATCCTTGAGCTGGAAAGCTAATAGACGGGTGGGGGCGCTTTTCTTGCATGTAGCTGACCTCAGTTTGATCCCTGCTATCTTCCTCTGAGCACTGTCAGGAGTGATCCCTGAGCACGGAGCCAGGAGTAAGCCCTGAGCACCCTGGGTGTTATTCCCCTTCCCTCCAACAGAACAGAACTTTGTGAAAGGGGATAGTGGAGGAGAGGGAGGAGTAACGAGCTATCGGATAATCGCCGTGGGTCATTGGCTCTTGACCTGGCCTCTTGAGAGTGTAGCCCAGCCCCTTCAGAAGATTCCATCTCTGTTTTCCAGGCTCCATTCGTCTTCCAAAGGCCGCCAAGACGCCGTTGAAAATTCACCCGCTGGTGCGGCTGCCCCTGGCAACTATCGTCAAAGATCTGGGTATGGGAAGGGACCCAGGCCGTGGAGTAAGGGTGGCCAGCGCCAGTTAGGGTGGCGGCAGGCTCTCTGCCCTGACTCTGTCCTTCCCCGCTGGTTTCTGAGGCGTTTAGCACACTGTGCTTTTGTAGGCTAATGTTTTTTCACAAGCTATCCAGGATTATTAGTGGTCCGTGTGATTTTGAAATAGTGGCAGTTGCTTGCGAGACCCTTCTCCGTCACTACTACTTTCGGGGCTGCCTAGGGAAACTGCCTAGAGAAGGGGAAGTGTGAATGTTCTCAGGGTTTTTCTTTTTTTCCTGGTAGTGGCCCAGGCACCTCTGAAACCAAAAACACCCCGGGGTACCAAGACACCAATCAACAGAAACCAGCTAACCCAGAACCGGGGCCTGGGGAGCATTATGGTTAAACGGACCTATGAAACTGTGAGTTGACCCCTGGAGTGGCCCAAACTGGGCTGGGTGGGACCGTGGTTTCTTTTGGCGCCTGAACATTACCCCCTCCTTTGCAGATGACAGGAGCAGGGCTCCCCTTCTCTGCCAATGGAAGGCCTCTGGCCTCAGGGATCCGTGCAAGCTCTCAGCCAGCCGCCAAGCGCCAGAAACTAAACCCCGCCGATGCCCCCAACCCTGTGGTGTTTGTCGCCACAAAGGACACCAGGTAGGCAGGCTGCCCAGCTAGACTGGGAGGACTGGAAAGTGGGGGGTGGGGATCTTGGTGGGTACAGATGGGGATGCCGGGAACGACTGGGCTGGAACTGCAGCGTCCTTGTCCTTAGCCTTCTCTCCCCCCCATCCTCCCTTCCTGGCCAGGGCCCTGCGGAAAGCTCTGACTCATCTGGAAATGCGGCGAGCTGCCCGCCGGCCCAACTTACCCCTGAAGGTGAAGCCCCCGCTGATCGCAGTGCGGGCCCCCGTCCCCCTGCCTGCACCCTCACATCCTGCCAGCACCAATGAGCCTATTGTCCTGGAGGACTGAACGTCCAGGGGGCAGGAGGTGGACAGAAAGCCGGGGCTAGGTGCCAGGGCACCCACCCTCCCCGCCGTCTGCTTGGGAGGGGGCAAGCGTGTGTCCTCGGAGGGGTCAGGTGCCCTCTGGGGTCACCAGGGGAAGGCCTGTCCCCTCCGTGCTTCTCCATGACTGGTGATGGAGCGCTGACTGCAGGAACGTGGCTCACTGTGGGAACCTAGCCTGTGACGGCTAGGAGGACCCACAGTTGTCTCGGACAGTTTTGGGGGGAGGGTTTTTTAATTTTTTTTAAAACTGTTGCCTCCCTTTGTGAAAGGGATGGGGCGGGGAGAGCAGACATCAGGTGGTGGTACCTGGTTGGGGGAGGGGGGCATGCACTGCCTTGACTGCCATTTTTTCTTTTTTTTTTTTTTCTAACTGGGGGTTTCTTCCTGTCCGGTGTCCGGACTTTTCCTAAATTGGAGTTTGAGGCCCCTAAGCTGGCATCGACCCCAGCCCATGCTCGCTTACCTTACCTCCCTAGTCCCTCCGCCTTTTGTATGCCAATTCTCAGAAATAAAGATCTTTTGTCCGTTTTTTAACCTCGGATTCTGTAATTGGTTCTTATAGTAACAAATAAAAAGCTGTTTTCTTCAGCTCTGGCTCAGCTGTTCTCTGCCACGGGTGAGTGGGTGGGGTGTGCTTGTATCTTTGATCAGGAGAACAAAGGACAATCGGGAAGGTACAGATGGGGCTTGCCTTGGGAATAGCTTTCTGAGATAGGCAGTGGGACAGGCTGTTCTCCAGAATGCTCCAGATTTCCCGCGGGCAGCATATACTGCTCCCAGCTACCTATGCTGGCTGCCAAAGCAGTTGGGAAAAGGGACCGGAGAGATAGTCTAGTTGATGAGGCACTTTCCTTGCATGCAGCTGGCCTGGGTTCGGTTCTTAGGCATCCCATATAATCCCTTGAACCCTACCAGGTGTGACCCAACCCCCAAACAAATTGGCATAAGCTGATCTCTGGGTTCTAGTCTTTGTTTTTTGGGCCACACCTGATGTCTGTGTTGAGGGCTTACCCCTAACTCTGCTCAGGCAGGAAGTTCGGGGATCGCTCCTGATGGGATTCAGGACCACATAAGGTGCTGGTGATGGAAGCTGGGTTGGCTTGCGTGCAGAGCAAATGCTCTCCCAACTGTGTTATCCCGTGGCCCAGATTCTAGCTGCTTTTTTTTTTTGGTGGGGGTACCACACCTGGCAGTGCTCAGGGAATACTCAAGGCTCTGCACTCCGGTTGTTTTCCAAAGGTTAAGGTGCTTCTCTAGCTTGAGGCTGTGGCAGCTGCAACCCAGCATGCCCTCAGAACAGAAACAAAATTCCCTCCTTGCACAGAGTTGAGACGCAATCTCAAAACTGACCAGCTCTTGGGCCGGAGCCATAGCACAGGGGGTATTTGCCTTGCATGTGGCCGACCAGGGTTCAATCCCCGGCATCCCATATGGTCCCCCAAGCACCGCCAGGAGTAATTCCTGATTGCAGAGCCAGAAATAACCCCTGAGCATCTCTGGGTGTGACCCAAAAAGTAAAAAAAAAAAAAACTGACCAGCTCTTAAGTTAGACTTTGAGATGTATATCAAATCCACTGCTCCACCACCAAAGTTGTGGGCTGATAAGGTGCCAAGAGCGGTTGTCTGGGGGCCAGATCTACAGTACAGAAGGAAGGGTGTTTACCCAGCACGATGCTGACCCTGGTTCTATCCGGGAGTCCCAATTGGTGCCGGGGGCCCTGCCCTCCAGCACTGCCAGGCATGACAACTGAGTGCAGAGCCAGGAGTAAGTCCTGAGCACTGCTGGATGTAACCCAAAAACCACACACACAAAAATGGGACTCTCCATCTCCCGGTCCCCTTCCCTGAGCCTCCCCAGCCCTGCTTCCACGCCTGAATTTGGAATTTGAGTTCTCTCGCAGCTCATGAGAAAGCAGTATCACAAAACGTTACTTAATTGCCACCTTTGGGGTTCCTCTGCGCCACTTTGTAGTGGCTCGGGCGTCTCCAGAGTAGCCTCCACGTGGCTCTTTACTGCGCAGAGCGGTTTGGTTCACAGGCATGGCAGCGACCCTGTGGGGCCCTGTGGAACCCTGTGGGGTCAGGCAGGGATGCCAGCAGTGGAGAGCAGAGCTCCCCAACTAGGATTCGAAAGCAGAGGCAGAGCACTCGGGCTGGGGAGGATTCAGGGCAAAAGGGAAGTCACAGGGGCAGCCCTGGGCTTCGTGCAGCTCCCTCAATGTCCGCCTTGACTCTCCAAGTAAATGGGGTGGCGGACGTAGCCGCCCGGGTCCGAACTGTCCCATGAACAAGTGCACGTGCGCCTCAGCAACACCGAGCCAGGAACCCGCCGCCGGAGGAGTGGGCGGGGACACGTGTACCCGCGCCGGCCTATTCGGTTGCTGTTCTGCAGCCTCACTATTCTCTAAGCCAATCACGGCTCGAGCGGCTCAGCGCACACCAATCGACTCGCCGCATGCAAATCAGCACCCCGGAACCGCCGCTTTTCCAACAGACCGTAGGCTCGAAGCCGGAACCAGGAGTCGAAGGGACTGAGTTTCCGGAGGACTCTGCTCGCGCGCGTGGCCTCGGCGCGTCACTTCCGGTCGCGCGGGCGGACCTTGCTTCTCGGCGCGCTGCGGCGACCCGCGGCCAGTTCCGGTGGTGCCCGCCGTGCTCGGTCCCGGAGAGCCGCGATGGCGGCGGTGGATTCGGATGTCGAGTCCCTCCCGCGCGGGGGCTTCCGGTGCTGCCTCTGCCGCGTTACCACAGCCAACCGTAAGCGGTGGCTGGTGAGGAGGGTGGGTGGGCGTGGGCGGCCGGTTGGCCGGCCGGCCGGCCTGGGGGTCTGTAGCGGCTGCCGGGCGAGGGTGCAGTTCTCTTAAGGTTGGCAACATCAATCGCCTCGATGTCCACTTGGCGCTCCCCGAGGGAGGAGGGACGAAGCGGCCAGCTGCGCAGCACCCAAGGCTCCGAGACCCAAGTTTCACCATTTATTCCCCGCCCCCCCCCCCCCCCCCCCAACCCCGGACGGATTTTGGGCCGCCCTCGGTGATGCTCAGGGGTTTGGACCGCCTGCAGTGATGCTCAGGGTTTGGGCTGCCCGGGGTGGTGTTCAGGGGTTTGGGCTGCCCCTCGTGATGCGTAGGGTTACCCCTGGCTCTACACTCAGGAGTTGCTCCCAGGGGTGCTTGGGGACTGTTTGGGATTCCAGGGAATGCAAGGCTAACGGCCTCCACGCCGCACTCCCTCTCCGGCCCCCTTAATCCCCTGCCCCCTTAATTCCGTTTTTGACCGTTGGGCGCGGGCTTTCTTTTTGCCCGGTACCCTCGGGGCTAGAGGGTCGAGGGTCCGGAGAACAGACTCAGAAGAAGCTGAACAGGTGCATCATCTGCAGATGGAGATGTGACATGTCAGTGCTCGGTAGCTGTGTTTGGAGCGCTCGGGGTTCACGGGGAACGGAGTAGGGAAACCCTACAGGAAAAGCTGCCCAAAGCCCAGGCTAGGTGGAGGAGCAATGGCCTGTATGGTTGGTTAGTGGGTGTTGTAGAAAAGCAAGACAAGGCAGGGAATTCCATGAAAACTCGGATTGCAATTTTTTTTTTCTTTTGGGTCACACCCGGCGATGGGGTTACTCCTGGCTTTGCACTCAGGAATCACTCCTGGTGGTGCTCGGGGGACCCTATGGGATGCTGGGAATCGAACCCGGGTTGGCCACGTGCAAGGCAAACACCCTACCCGTTGTGCTATTGCTCCAGCCCCTTTATTTATTTATTTTTCCAGATTGCAATTTTGAAGTCTGCAACTGCGGTCTTGCCCAGATGGGGTCTTGCATCCTTTTCTTTGTTAGTTGTTGGATAATGTTGGTTTGTCCTTGCTCCTCCCGCAGGGAACTTTGGTTTCTTGAGTTACTCCCACAACAGTGCCCCCCTGATGCACACCTAATTTCATCCGGATCTGATAATCCTATGTTGCTTTGCTCTTTCCTTTCTGTCACTTGCATGGTTTAGCAATGTCCTTTTTGTATAGACACAGGAAGATAGTTCATGCTATACTTCGTAACATGGAAGTGAATTGACTCCAAGATGATATTTACTCCTGGGCATCCATATTTACTTGACTTAAGCTTAAGTTGCCCTTAGTTCCTAGCACTCCAAAGGCAGGGTCCTGACAAAGGAACTGGATGGGCCCAGGGCAAGCTGTAAGCTACCCTGGCATCGGAAGGGGACAAGCTAAGCACCATAAGTTAAGAGCACAGTCATGGGACAAACACTATCATGACCCAAAAAGAAGTAACTGAATAAGGACCCTGCGGGGGTTAGGAAAGACTAACCAGGCCTGTGGAGTGTAATCTGGAATATATAGTGAGATGTCCCCAGGAAGAGCCAACCTTTAAGCTTAATATGTCTCTTATTGTGTTCCTACAAAATAACAACTATTAGAAGAAAATTTACTGATTGTTTAAATGGATTACTAGCTGAGGGAAGCAGAAAGCAAAACACCCTAGATGGAATTCTGCCCTTGAGCAGCGGATCTCCTAGTAATCTGGAGTGCTGAACCCTCAGATGAGATCTTGTCCTTGAGTTCATCTCCCAGAACTTCCCCTGAAGGAGTGGCTTTCCCTCTGTTGTTATGACAAAGTTCAACCCCACCTATGTGTACCCCCACCCTTCATGTGGCACAGTAGCTCTGCCCTCCTGTTGTTCATCGATTTGCTCGAGTGGGCACCATTGTGAGACTTGTTGTTACTGTTTTTTTCATATCGAATCCACCACGGGGAGCTTGCCAGGCTCTGTTTGTTGTGCTTGCAGGGCTCTCCAAGAGGGACGGAGGAATCGAACCTGGGTTGTTTGTGTGCAAGGCAAACGCCCTACCCACTGTGCTGTCTCTCCAGTCCCCCCACTCTTCATGATTCCTATATAACTATGCTATAAGGGGAAAGGGCAGACTAGAAAATCGAGGACTATGAAGATTAGTAGAGGACTTTGAGGTCTACGAGGAGATTAGGATGATGGAACTATGACTGGGACTAAGATTGTGTTGTAAGGGAGAGACCGGACCACGTTGGGGAGGAGAACGAAATAAACCTGACTACGACTGGCCCACGCCCTGTTCCTCCTTTCCCCCATCCTTCATCTGTCCATCACTGTGCTTTTCTTCTGGAACTCACAGTCAGTGGCACCTCCTCTTTGTACAGTAGGGCAGATCAGAAACCTCAGTCTTCCTGACCCCACATAATACACGTCAAGGATCACAACAGCAGACCCTTTCCATGCGTTTACCATCAGATTTCACCACTCGCAGTGCTCTGGGATACTAGTATATGGGATGCTGGGGATCGAACCCGGATCCCCTTGTGCAAGGCAAACACCTTACACATTGCACTATTTCTCCCGCTCCAAAGTAATGCTATGTAAAATGCCAGTTGCTATTTCAATTTGTCAGGAGAAACTGATGCACAGTGAGGTTAAGGAACTTGCCCTGACAGCTGAGGGATTTTTGGATTTTTATTTGTTTATTTTTATTTGCCCTTTTGGTCACACTCAGCAATGGTCAGGCGTTGCTCCTGGCTTTGAACTCAGGAATTACTCCTGGCAATGTTAGGGGGGCCATATGGGATACTGGGGATTGAACCTGGGCCCATCTGACCCCAACAGCTGAGATTGGGTCAGTGTGACTTCACATCTGACCTTCAAAATTTCTTTTCCTTTTTACTCTTTTTTTGGGTGGTTTATATTTTCGGTGGTGAGTGATGGGGCACATGCGTGGTGGGACACACCCCGCAGTGTTCAGGGTCTCCTTGTGCTTGACTCTCAGGGATGATGTCCCAGAGGGATTTGGGGGACATTGAGCCTGGGCCGCCTCCTGTCTTTAAATCAATCATCTTGCTGACTCCTGACGTTCGCAGAGCGTTTCTGGTCTGGAGCCAAGTCTGGTGTGCTCCAAGAGTGATGGAGACATGTTTTGTTTCACATTTTTCTTTGCAGGACCCAGCTTAGATGCCCATTTGGGAGGCCGGAAGCACCGGCACCTGGTAGAATTACGAGCTGCCCGCAAGGCCCAGGGGCTTCGAAGTGTGTTTGTCAGTGGTTTTCCCCGGGATGTGGATTCTGCTCAGCTCTCGCAGTACTTCCAGGCATTTGGACCTGTGGCCAGCGTTGTCATGGACAAAGACAAGGTAGAGTAAGTTGCCCTTGGGTGAAGGAGTTCGGTGTGTTGCACACCAGGAAAAGCGGAGGGCGGGCCTGGGGATCTGTGTCAGCTGGTTCCTGTGTGCTAGTCCTTGGTGAGCATCCTGGTGTGCGGTCTGGTCCAGTCTGGAGAGTCTTACCTGCCCTGGCACCCGTACTTGTGTAGTTTTTTATTTTTGTTTTAGTTCTCAGGGCTTCCTTCTGGCTCTGCACTCAGGGTTCACTCCCAGTGAGACTCGGGGATCTTGTGGGGTGATGGGAAATGAACCCAGATTGGCCACATGTACATAAGCACCCTGTCAGCTGTACTGTTGCTTCAGCCCTAAACATTGGATTTCTTGTTATTTTGGGGTCACAGGTGTGCATGGCTCACTGCTGGCTCTGCACTCAGGGATCACTCCTGGTGGTGCTGGGAGGACTGTATGTGGGATTTGGGGATCAAACCCGGGTCAGCTGTGGGCAAGGCAAGTGCCTTGACTACTGGACTATTTTTCCAGTCTCAATTTTTTTGGGGGTGGGGTGGGGCATACATACTGATACTCGATACTCCTGTTTCTGTGCTCAGGGACTCTGCATGGTGCTTGGGAGATCGTCTGCAGTGTCAGGGATCAAACAGGTTGGCTGTAGGCAAGGCATGCACCTGAACCTCTGTGCCAGCTCTCTGGCCCTTCCACCTCTGTGTGGATTTTATCAGTTTCCAGAGTCCTTTATTCTCTTTGCCAAATGCATATGACCTCCCGTGTCTAGGTACATCTCAGAGATATTGTGGGGTCAGTTGAAGAGGGTGCATGGCAATAGAAGACTTCACATAAAGTGCCTGGAGTGACAGTTACTGTTACAGGTGCAGTAGTGATACAGTAGAAAACCGTGAGCAGGTGCCAGGGGTGTGGCTCAGCAGGAAAGCTCATGCTTCCTTGCACCAGACCTGGACTTCCGTATCCAGCGTGGAGGGAAGGAAAGAAGGACGGTAGGGAAGGAGGGAAGAGAAGAGGAACTTTATCTTGATTAATGTGGCACAAAGGAGGACACACTTTTGGACAAACAGTGCCTGCAGGCTTGCTGCGCGCGGATGTCACTTCCTTGCAGAATGGCGTGTCTACAGTGTGTACTCAGGTGACCTGAGCCAAACAGGGTGGCACAGGTGCCTGCTCTCACAGCCTACAGCCTGACAAAATAGGCACTGAAAGGAGGAATCCCAGGGGCTGGGGATAGGACTCGGGTGGCAGAACACAGCCCTTGTTGGGGCGAGGGTCTGGATTCAATCCTGCCACCCGTGGGCCACATCAGGGGTAGCTGCCCGGAGTGCCCTTCCCCCAGCCCCCAACATAGTAACAGCAACAAAGAGTAATTAGGGGAAGTGGGTGCTGTTAAGCTTCGCACCATCTGGGGAGCTGTCCTAATTCTTCAGAAGACTGGGTGATCAACCAGCTGCCTGTGTGTCATATTAACTATCTGCTCAGAACATGCTATCCTCTGGGCAGTGCTAGGAAAAGAGGTGGGTTCCTTTTCTTTGAAAGCCGTACCTGGCGGTACTTAGGACTTCTGATTCTTTTTTGGATTTTTTTGAGTGTGGATGGGCATATCTAGTGATGCCCAGGACTTATTCTTGGCTCTGTGCTCCGGGATCACAACTGGTGGACTCAGGGAACCATATGGGGTGCCAGGGATTGAACCCAGGTCTGCCACGTGCAAAGCAGGTGTCCTCCCCTCAGTGCTGCTGTTCCAGCTCCCACTGTATTAAGCATTTTTGGTGTTAAGAGAATCAACTCAAGCAGGATCAATGAGAGTGTGGGTCATAGTATACGCAGTGACGTCACATTGTTGACAAGAATAGGGAACAGTGAAATAGGTAAAAAGAGATTTTTTTTGAGGCAGATGTGCAAGAGTCATGTTTGGGAGAGGGTCAGGAAGAGAGTCCCAGGAGATCTGCATGGGGGGACGGGGAGGGGGTGTCCAGGGGGCAGCGAGTGCACGGTGGAGTGCCAGCTTTGCATTCTGGAGCCCTTGCTCCTCTTCTTCAGCGCTTAGGACAGGTTCCTGAGCACCCAGCCAGGAGTGGCCGCAATCGGATGCCCCCAACACCGTAACAAACACAGGAGCCGGGGAGATAGCTCAGCCATGTTTTGAGCCGTGGGCTGAGCACATGGTTTGTATGTGGAAGCCCAGGCTCAGTCCTCAGCACTGTGCTGCCTCCTCCCAAAACGGGTGGCAGTGACCCCCACGCACCTCCAGAACATGGTTCTAAGAAATAACAAAAAGCATAGAAACAACAAAGGAGGAAGGGGCAGAATTGCTTCTCCCTGGATGCCCTGTTCCTGAAACGGCAGGTGGGTCGCAGTTGAGAGGCGGGTCCCCGTTTCTAAGATGCTCGCTGCTTCGTGGATTCGCTTTCCTGGTTCCCAAACCGTTGACGCTGCCCTGTGTGGTCCGCAGGGGGTGTTTGCCATCGTGGAGCTGGGGGACCTGGCTACCCGGGAAGCCGTCCTGGCCCAGCCCCAGCACAGCCTGGGTGGACATCGCCTGCGAGTCCGGCCGCGGGAGCAGAAAGAGTTCCAGAGCCCCGCGTCCAGGTCCCCCAAAGGAGCCGCCCCTGACAGCCAGCAGCTGCTGAAAGCCCTGGCCGACGCCCCGGATGTGGGTGCACAGATGAGAAAGCTCGTGGGGCTGAGGGAGCTGTCGGAGGCCGAGCGGCAGCTGCGGAGCCTCGTGGTGGCCCTGATGCAGGAGGTCTTCACTGAGTTCTTCCCCGGTGAGTGGCGCCCCCTGCGTGCCCGCCTCCCGAGCCCCCCTTGGCCGCACCGCCGCCTCGATCGCTCTTCTGTCTGCGTACCCCGTTGGTCTTGCGCCCCTACTCCCACCATGTCTCTTGACCTTTATCCTCTGCTCGGCACTCAGGCTGTGTGGTCCATCCTTTTGGCTCTTCCATAAACAGCTTTGATGTCCACGGCTGCGATCTTGACCTCTTCCTTGATCTGGGCGACTTGGAAGAGCCGCAGGTGAGTGAGCCGGGAGGCAGGTGGGAGAAGTCGGAGTCGGCCCTTCACTCTCTGCCTGAGTTTCCTCATCTGTACGGGGGTGGGGGGTTGGGGGGGTTGTTTCCCCTGGCCCCGCTGTGCAGATGGGCCAGCTGGGTCCCGTTTCAAAAGATTCCCGCCTGCCGTCAGTTACCAGACTTCTCCCCTCTACAGCAGGCGTATGGCCCCAAGCATTGTAAGGGGAGAAAAGTGAATGCCGAGGAGTGTTAGGTGAAAAATAAAATTTCAGAATGGTTTGGACAGTAGCTTGAACACAACCTGTGTGGGTCCTTCCCCCCAATAAAAATCTGTATGTTTCAGAGCAATTTTGTGATTTTTTCGGTATGTGTAAAGAACAAAGTTCCTGAGCGGGAGAGCTTGTCTTATGTACAACTGGCCCTGGGTTGATTTCTGAGCACTGTCAGGAATGATCCCGGAGCACTGGCAGGAGGACCCCTGGCCGCCGAAGCTTTTTACACATAAAAAGCTATAGTCTCCAACTATATCTTGCCCCCAGAAAGGGATGAATTATTTATTTATTGGTTTCGGGGCTACACCCTAGCCATTCTTGGGGATCACGCATCACCGGGGTCAACCCTGGAATCCCACATATAACGCTTGCGCTCTCGCCTTTTGAGCTACTTCTGCCGCCTTAAGAGGTTATTTTATGTTTTAAATGGTGTGGGGATCAGATGTTTCTATATACCTACAGTGCCTTTGGCCCAGAGCCTGGCATGTCTGAATTACTGTCACTGTCCTCCCGTTGTTCATCGATTTGCTCGAGTGGGCCCAGTAACAGTGTGAGACTCGTTACTGTGTTTGGCATATTGAATACATCACGGGGAGCTTGCCAGGCTTTGCCGTGAGGGCGAGATAATCTCGGTAGCTTGCCGGCCTCTCCCAGGGGGTGGAGGACTCGAACTCGGGTTGGCCATGTTGGCCGCTTGCAAGGCAAACGCCCTACCCGCTGTGCTATCGCTCCAGCCTGCATGTGTGAATATACCTGCTAATATGCAGCAAGCAGTCGGTGCGTCTTGTGGGGGGAAGGTGCTCCGTTTGCCGTTTGGGGCCAGCAGGAGCGACGCTCCCTCAGCTTGTTTCCCTCCACAGCCGGGCCCCAAGCCTCCAGACTCTCCCTCCCTGGACTCGGCCCTGGCATCCCCACTGGACCCTCAGGCCCTGACCTGCACCCCAGCTTCTCCTCCCGACTCGCAGCCGCCAGCCTCTCCGCCAGACTCCGAAGGCCTGGACTTGGAGGCCCCGTCCTCCCTGGCGCCCCGGACCCCAGACTCAGCTTTGGCATCGGAGACCCTGGCCTCTCCCCAGTCCCTGCCCCCAGCCTCCCCGCTGCAGGAGGACGGGGTGGACGGGGAACTGGGCAAGGCCCCGAAGGGGGAGAAGGCGGAGGGTGGCGCCATGCTGGAGCTGGTCGGGTCCATCCTTCGGGGCTGTGTCCCCGGGGTGTACCGCGTCCAGACCGTGCCCTCGGCTCGCCGCCCTGTGGTCAAGTTCTGCCATCGGCCCTCGGGGCTCCACGGTGACGTCTCCCTCAGTAACCGGTACTTCTGCTTGGGGCCTGCTGCGCAGTTGGTGTGGGAGGAGGGGTCCTCTCCTGGGAGGGGGCCGGTATGTGTGGGGCCCCTCCTTTCCCCCCGTCTGTCTGCCTTTCATTTCACTGCTGGCGAGGTGTGTTCCTTAGTCTGCTGTTATATCTTTTGTCTTGCTTTGGGGGCCGCGTCTGACTCTGCTTGGGGGTTGCTCTGAGGACCGTGGGCTCTGTCATGCAGGACCAGCCCTCTGTCCCTGGGCCACATCCCTGGCCCTGACCTACAGTTTGGTGTGGTGGGAGGGGGTCGAGGGAGAGGGGGAGAGTTTAGATCTCCTCTGGCAGCGCTCAGGGGGCTCTGGCTGGCTTTTTTTTTCCTTTTAAGGGAGTTTTATTTATTTATTTATTTTTTTGGGTCATACCTGGTGATGCCCAGGGGTTACTCCTGGCTCTGCACTCAGGAATTACTTCTCACGGTGACTTGGGGGACCCCGTGGGATGCTGGGAATCGAACCCGGGTTGGCTGCGTGCAAGGCAAACACCCTACCCGCTGTGCTATCGCTCCAGCTCCTTCTGGCTGCCTTTTGCTCAGGAGTGATAACCCCTGTTGGTACTCGGGACCCTGTGTGGTGCCGGGGATTCGAGCGGGGCTTGTTGGAATATAAGGACAGCGCCTAGCCACTGTACTGGCTCTCCTGGCCTAGATCTGTCCTTTTTTTCTTTTTTTTGGGGGGGGGCGGAGGGGGCTCACACCCGGCAGTGCACAGGGGTTATTCCTGGCGGTGCTCGGGGGACCATGTGGGATGCTGGGAATTCAACTCCTCCTTTGCTCTCCTCTTTCTCACTGTCTTCCTCTCCCTCCCTTCCCTTCTTCCTTTGCCTAAAGTCTCCAAGCATGTTTAGGACAAGGTCTGACTATTGGGGTGGCTCTCCTCGAGGTAGTGTTTGCTTCATGTGTTTTGTTTTGTTGGGGGTGGAATTTGGTGCCACACCCAGCAGTACTCAGAGGCTGTTCTGTGTCGGTGCTCAGGAGTGAGCGCTGGCAGTGCTTGGGGATCAGATTAGGTGCTGGGGGTTGAACCAGGCTTGGCCACATGCGAGGCAAGCGCCCTACCAGCTACTCTCTCTCCAGCCCCACACCCGCTGTTTTCGCATCCCCGCGCACTGGATCCGGTGTCTGCAAACACGGTGGAGAGGCGCTTTCCTCCTCCCTCTGGCTGGCCTGGCTGTGCAGGCTAGGGAGAGTGGGGGTGTGGGCTCAGGCCTCCTGCCCCTAATGGCCCTGTTTCCTGTTGGCTGCAGGCTGGCCCTTCATAACTCCCGCTTCCTGAGCCTCTGTTCGGAGCTGGATGGGCGAGTCCGGCCCCTTGTCTACACTGTCCGCTGCTGGGCTCAGGGTCGGGCGCTGTCAGGTGAGGAGGATCCCGGCCAGACTTGGGGTGTGACTGGCTGGAGCCCTGGAGCTGATCGGGACGCACCCCGGATCTAATTGCAGTTAACGTTTCCCCAGGGAGCGGCCCCCTGCTCAATAACTACGCCCTGACCTTGCTGGTCATCTACTTCCTTCAGACCAGGGCCCCTCCTGTTCTGCCCACCGTGCTGCAGCTCACCCAGAAAGCAGGTACAGCCACCGCCCTCCACCTGCTCCGTCTCGCGCAGTCCCACTCGAAGGCACCGGGCGGGCCTGGCCTGAGGTGCCCGCGTCCCGCTTCGTCCCCGACGGCCCCTTTCTCCTCTCACAGGTGAGGGCGAGCAGGTGGAGGTGGACGGCTGGGACTGTAGCTTCCCCCGGGAGGCCTCGAGCCTGGAGCCGAGCAGCAACACCGAGCCCCTGAGTGAGTGTTGGGGCCGGGCGGGGGCTAACGGGTGCTTGCGTCTGCCCTGGCATCTCGGGGGCCGTGGCCTCTTCTCACTAGGCCTCTGGCTCCTTTATGGCGGAGGGGTCTGCCTGGGAGCAGTTAGGCAAATACAGGCCAAGCTGCCAGGAGAGGCTTGACCCCTGTGACAGGCCCTGGCACTCAGCGGAGTCCCTCGGCGGGGTGGGAGTGGGGGTGGGAGGGGGCAAGGCCTGCAGGGGAGGGGCTTCGTCTCCCGGATCTGTTTGTGTCTTGGATCACGGCCGATGATGCTCAGGAGGAGTTCCTCCCGGCCCAGCACTCAGATGCCTGGGATCGAACCTGGGTCTGCCGCGTGCAAGGCACACGCCCTCCCTACGATCCTGTCACTCCAGCCCCTCATCTGGCAGTTCTGGCCTCCAGGTAACTCCTTTCCCCGGCTTTTCCCCCCCAGGTTCCCTGCTCGCCCAGTTCTTCTCCTGCGTTGCGTCCTGGGACCTTAGCAGTTCGCTGCTGTCCCTGAGGGAAGGCCAGGCGCTGCCGGTGGCCGGGGGCCTGCCTGCCCACGGCTGGGAGGGGCTGCGCCTCGGCCCCATGAACCTCCAGGACCCTTTCGACCTGAGTCACAATGTGGCGGCCAACGTGACCAGCCGGGTGGCGGGGCGGCTGCAGAACTGCTGCCGGGCGGCCGCCAGCTACTGCCGCAGCCTCCAGTTCCAGCGCCGCTCGCCCCGGGGCCGCGACTGGGGGCTGCTCCCGCTGCTGCAGCCCAGCCCCCCCAGCTCGCTGCTGTCCGCCACCCCCATCCCTCTACCCCCGGCGCCGTTCTCCCAGCTCACGCCTGTCCTGGCTCAGGTGTTCCGGGAAGCCCTAGGGTGCCACATCGAACAGGGCACCAAGAGACAGCGGTCCGAGGGAGGGGGAGCCGGGGAGCCGGCCCCGGCGGGGGCAAGTAAGAGACTGAAACTGGACGACCAGAAGAACTGCGAAGCGGAAATGGAGCAGCCGCAGGGCTGCGCTGGCGACCACGGCGAAGACGGGGTGGAGGAAATGGTCGTAGAGGCCGGAGAGCCGGTGCAGGACTGTGCCATGCGGAGCCCCGGGCAGCCGGCGGAGCTGCCCCCCACCAGCGGAAAGCCTCTGGCTGCTGACGACACCCCGCTGGCCGAGCAGGGCCCTGGAGGACCCCCTGTATCCCAGGCTGGGGTGTCCTCGGCCTCCGTGAGCTGGCGCTGTGCCTTGTGGCACCGAGTGTGGCAGGGGCGGCGACGAGCCCGGAGACGCCTGCAGCAGCAGACCCGGGCTGGGAGTGAGGGCGGTGCCAGTCCGGGGGCCCAGTGGCTGGCCACTGAGGCTCTAGTAACCCAAGAGCTGAGGGGTCCGGGCACTGTTGGCGACCCGGAGGTCGAACCACTCCTGACCTTTGTGGCGTCTGCCTCCCCTGCTGACCAGACTCTCACGGTGACCCCGACCCAGGATTCTCAGGGCCTCTTCCCCGATCTCCATCATTTTTTACAGGTCTTCCTTCCTCAGGCACTCCGAAACCTCTTAAAGTGAGGACGGACAATAAAGCTGCTAGTTTACTAAACACCAGTTTTCTCGAGTTTCCATCCAGACCTTAAAGCTTTTGAGGTGCCTTCTCCAGACACCCTGAAATAGGCCTCTTTGCTTTGGGGCTATACCTGGCTGTGCTCAGGGCTGACTCTGGGGGGTGCTGGGGATCAGACCTGAGTTGGTTGTGTTGCCCTACCTGTTGTTCTATGTCTGCCCTTTTTTTCAACCCCAGCGGGTGATGCTCAGGCTAACTCTTAGCTGTGCTCAGGGTCACGCTGGGTGGGGCTTAGGGAACCACATATGTGGTATCTGGGATGAGCCTGTATAGGCTGCATGCAAGACAAATGCCCTGCCCTCAGCCCCAACCTCTTGTCGCACAGTGCAGGAGGGCAAGGATGGTGTGTGTCTGACCTAGCAGGGTCCTGGAAGACCCGGGCTGGAGAATGGCAGAGCCAGGCTGGCCTCCACTTTGTCCTACATGCCTCGATTTGTGAATGATGATGATGTCTATGGCTCAGTTTAAGTGGGAAGCGAAGGAGGTAGCTGTAAAGTGCTTCCACCTCTGCTGGGCTCGCCTGGGCACCAGAGCTGGGCAATGTCTGCTTGGGTCAGGATGGGGCAAGTGTGAGCACCTACACGGCACAGACGCTCACGTCCCAAGTTGCAGCTTGGTCTGCAGCCCACTAGTTCACCCACGGGGGAAGATGATCCCTGCCACCTGATTTCTTAGGGAGTCATGGCCTCAGGCTAGAGTGAGAAAGTGCTCTTTGCAGTAAACTTGGCATTGGTGTTCCATTCCATCACCTTGTTGCAGTTCTCTCAGAAAAAAATTGCAGGAGGCAAAGTGGTACATCAAGATAAGTTTTTATTGTAACTGACTTTCAATAAAGTGGGGAGAGAGAGGAAGAACACGAGGTTTCTCCAGGAAGGAAAAAGCAAGCAAAGAGATAGACAAGTGAGATAAATATTCAAGGGAGAACACTGATAAGCCCGCATGATGGGAGGAGCTTTTAATTCTTCCCCATGGGTTTTTTTTTTCTTTTTTGGGTCATACCCAGCGGTGCACAAGGGTTACTCCTGGCTCATGCACTCAGGAATTACTCCTTGTGGTGCTCTGGGGACCCTATGGGATGCTGGGAATTGTGCAAGGCAAACGCCCTACCCCCTGTGCTATTGCTCCAGCCCACCTACCCTGTTCTTTCCAGGAGTTAATCCAGGCTGTCACAGGAAAACCTAGACTGCTGAGGGTCTCAGTAATCTCAGATTCTTTGTAGCTTCTTTTGTTCTTTGGATGCAGCTCAGTGCCAGAGACCTAAAGACTGGGTCCAAGGCAAAAGACGCTCCTCAATTTCTCCCACCCAAAGAACTCAGGATTTGCATCCCAAATGGATGGGATCTTCATGCCTTTGGGCTTCTTCAGGACTAGACATCATCTTCCATTTCACCTTTCCCAAAGTACAATACCAGGCCCCCTACCAGCAACACATGAGACTAGGGAGCAGGGTTCTTCCCCATCACCCCAAAATTTATTAACAGAAGTCAGTCACCCTGAATGCTCAAGGGTTACTCCTGGCTCTGCAGGTAGGAATTACTCCTGGTGGTGCAGGGGGTGGGTGGAAGGACGACCATAACCCATAACCGGACTGGGCACATGCAAGGCAAGTACCTTAACCCCGTTTATTATCTTTCCAGCCCTGGCCCGGAACCCTATATATATATATATATATATATATTTTTTTTTTTTTTTTGCTTTTTCGGGTCTCCCATCCAAGGCCGAGCTGGGTTCGATCTTGGAGAGCCCGTCAAGCTATTGAGAGTATCTTGCCCACACGGCAAAGCCTGGCAAGCTCCCCGCAACGTGTTCAATATGCCAAACACAGTAACAAGTCTCATGATGGAGATGTTACTGGGCCCACTCGAGCACCGTGCTTTTCGGGTCACACCAGAGACTAGGCTTTGTCCTGGAGGTGCTCGCGGGACATATGGATGCTGGGAATCCAATCCGGGTCGTCCGTGTGCAAGGCAAACACCCTACCCGCTGTGCTATCTCTCCAGCCCGCCCCCCCGCCCCCCAACCCTATTCTTAAGGGGTAAGATTTCACATCTGGAGCTGAAGGCAGTACTGCGTTGCACGCAGCCTGCCAGGGTTTGCTCCCCAGCACCCAGATATGGTCCCTTGAGCCTGTCATGGTTCACAACTGAACATGGATGGCCACATCCAGATTTGTCTCTCAACGTCCAGGCCTCTTTCCCCCGGCACTTCTCTACCAATCGAGCACTTCTCTACCAATAACATTTGGGAACTGCAAGGCGGTAGTTTTGAAAACTTATCATCTTTTTTAAATCGCGCTCTACCGGGCTGTGCTCAGGGCTTCCCCCTCCTGGCGGCGCTTGGGGGTAACATAAGCGGTTTCGCGCGGACGGAATCTGGGTTAGATGCGTGCAAGGCAAACGCCTTCCCCGCTGTCCTCCCGCTCGGGCCCGGCAACCTGACTTTCATCCAGGGTTTCGGGGTTAAGATGACCCAGGCCCTCCGCGAGAGAAACCCTCCAAAGCGCTTCCTCGGACGCGGTCCTTTCGGCTCCCGAGGTTAGGGGCTCGGCGGGCCCTCCCATCGAGTCCGCGGAGGCTAGATCCCCCATGGCCGGCCGGTCTGCGCCGGCCAGGCAACTGTGCCACGTTGCGGCCACGGGCTGGCTGGCCAGCCCCCTGCGCCCGCCACCTCCACGTGGGTTCCCCGGCGCGTCCCGCCAGGCCCGGCCAGACGAGAGCGGCACTGCGCAGGCGCGAGCCTTTCCCGTCGCAGGCCCCACCCCCGGCCTTTTCCTCTCCGGCCGCCATTGGCTACCGAACTGTCGTGCGTATGCCTTCTGTGTCGTCCTCGCTTTCCGGCTGCTCCTTCTCTACGGCTTCCTCCCCGCCCCCCCCCCTCACTCCCTCCTCCCCCCCACCGGCGGCGTACTTTGCGGCAGCGCCGAGCGCCCCACCCCCTTTCTCTGCGGAATCACCATGGCGGCCGGGGTAAGTCAGCCGGCTCGGGCAAGCCCGCTCATCCTATCCGGCGCCATCCTCCGCCCGAGGGCGGCCGGCCGGCGCCGGAGGGGCCTCGGGGCCGAGTGGGGAGCCGATGCGGGGGTCTGGAGGCCGTCCCGGTGGAGAGCCGAGCTTCCGGGCCCCGCGGGGGGGAACTGAGGCTGGGGCTCTCCGAGGCCAGGGAAGGTGGAGGAGGAAAGAGGGGCTGGACCCCGGCGATCCGGCGCCCGACAGCGAGCTCCGGGCTCCTTGGCGTCTCCACACACACGGGCCGTCCGGGCAGGCTGGCAACTTTGGGGGCCGCAGGACGGCGAGGGGCGCGGGATGCGAGCGCAGAGGAGCTCGGTGGGCTCGGTGGGGCTGGCTGGCTGGCCGGCCACGCGTGGAGGGGCGTCCCGCAGAGAGGCGCGCGGACGCCGGGCGCGGGTGGGCGCGGGGGGCAGCGGCGCCGCGGGCGGAGCTGGCTCCCGGCCTTCCGATGGGGTCGGCGCGCCTGTCGGTGGACCAGGGCGAGGGGCTGCCAATGAATGAACCGAGGGCGCGGCGCCGGGCGCCGGGGCGGGGTGGGTGGGTGGGTGGGTGCGTGCAAGTTTGGGGTTGCACGGAGCAGCCTTTCCCGGGGAGAGGATGCTCGCACAGGGGTGTCCTCGCGGAAGGTCAGGGGTGGCCACGGAGCTTTATTTAGCAGTGGCCGCCGAGTCGGGAGGATTCTGATGACACATGACACTTCCAGGAACCGGGCACCGCTGCCGCGGGAGCGAGCGTGGAAGGGGGCGGGCCGGGCTTCCTCCCGGGCAATCAATCGCCGCCCCTGGCCCGCCACTGACTACCACCCCCCCACCCCACCCCCCGTTTCTCCCGCAGACCCTGTACACATACCCTGAAAACTGGAGGGCCTTCAAAGCCCTCATCGCGGCGCAGTACAGCGGCGCTCAGGTCCGCGTGCTCTCCGCACCGCCTCATTTCCACTTTGGCCAAACCAACCGCACCCCTGAGTTTCTGCGTAAATTTCCGGCCGGCAAGGTAAGTGGGCGAGGGACCTGGCGTTCCTGGGACTCCCCCGGCTCCTCCCCAAGATTTCTGTCACTCTCAAGGATGACCATCTTTTTGGAGATGGTGGGGGGAGGGGTCACACCCATTGATGCTCAGGGGTTACTCCTGGCTCATGCACTCAGGAATTCCTCCTGGCGGGGCTCAGGGGACCATATGGGATGCTGGCGATGGTGTGGCTGGCCAGCAGGATGCATGATTTTGCTCTCTAGCCCCAGGTGGCCTACCTCTTTCAAGGGAGCTTTGCGTTTTGTTTTCCTTCCTGGATTTAGGTGATGTTACACACTTTATTTGGGCCACATCTAGCTATGCTTGGGGCCGGGAGCGGGTCCGTATGTGATATTGGGGATCAAACCCAAGGGTCAGCCGTGTGCAAGGCTTACTCCCTGTACTGTTTCCAGTATCTTTCAATGGTTAAAAAGCAAATGGGTCAGAGAGATAGAAGAGGCCAGAGCCTGGAATAGCCCCTCAGCACTGGGTATTACCTAAACCCCCATACATCTCCCCACCTGTACCACCACCCCCCAAGTCATTTTGGGGGCAGGGAGCCTTTGGGGCTATGCCTGCAGTGTGCTTCAGGTGCTTACTCATAGGGGGGCCTCAGGGATTTGTGGTGCAGGGATTTGAACCAGGATTGGCAGGATGCAAGGCAAGAGCCTGAACTCTTGTACTTGTCCAGCCCTAAAAACTTGTATTTGGAGATAATCGTCGCCAACTGTGGAGTTGGAAAGAAATACAAAGATACTTAGTGATCTTATAGAATAGATTTAGATTTTGCTTTTTCTGGGGAGAATGAGTTTTGACCAAGTGTCCTCCTCGCCAGCGTAACTGGTGAGGGTACAGGGGGAGGCTCTGTGCCCCCCCCCCATGGCTTTTTGAAAGTTGGCAGATACAAAGACTTGGTTTTAGCCTTTTACTTACTTAAAAGGACTTCAAATAAATAATATAGAAACCAGGGGGTTCTTAAACTTTAGTTTTGAGGGGCCCGCCCCGCAGTGCTCAGGCTTACTCCTGGTTCTGCGCTCAGGGAATCACTCCTGGCGGGCTTGGGACCCTGTGTGGTCCTGCGGTTCTAATCCAGGCCAGCTGCCCCTTGCATGCTTCGATACTTTGAGTTCAGTTTGAGGCCAACTTATCTCGGAACGGTTCGGTTCCCGAGTTCCAGGTTAGTCTTGGTAATGGAGCGAGCGGGCCCTTCTCCGTAGCACCCGCTTATCTCCTGGAGTCACCCGTGAGAAGCGCACCTTTCACTTACCCTTGGACTGCTTTGGCCCTAGGTCCCAGCCTTTGAGGGCGATGACGGCTTCTGTGTGTTTGAGAGCAATGCCATTGCCTACTACGGTAATCTGCAGCGGACGTGGGCCTGGGTGGGTTGAAGAGGCGGAGGGTGAGCTGGCGTGGACAGGAGCTTGCACGGGCCCGGAAGCCCCACGGCTCTGCCCTCCGATGTCTCTGCAGTGAGCAACGAGGAGCTGCGGGGAAGCACCCCCGAGGCCGCAGCCCAGGTGGTGCAGTGGGTGAGCTTTGCCGACAGCGACATCGTGCCCCCGGCCAGTACCTGGGTGTTCCCCACCTTGGGCATCATGCACCACAATAAGCAGGTAAGCCTGAGCGCGCGCTGGCGCCGGGGCCACAAGGAATCGAAGTAGGTCGGGAAAAGGAGAGGCTGGTATCCGTGGGTCATGAGAGAACGGATCTCGGGGTGGGGAGTTTGTCGATCAGTGGAGGTGACAGCTGGAGCAGGGGAGCGGGGAGAACACAGGGGCTGCTCAGGTTCTTCCTTTTTTTAAAATTTTGCTTTTTGGGTCACATCCGGTGTTGCTCAGCGGTTACCCCTGGTTCTGCACTCAGGAATTAATCCTGGCGGTGCTCAGGGGTTCCTCCTGGCTCTGCACTCAGGAATTACTCCTGGTGATGCTCGGGCAACCATATGGGATGCCGGGGTTGAACCTGGGTTGGCTGCGTGCAAGGCAAACGCCTTACCTGCTGGGCTATCGCTCCGGCCCTCCCAGGTTCTTTCTGAACTGGGCATAAAGGCGGGTTTCAGTGGGAGGGAGTGAACCCGCCAGTGCTTTGCCCATTGCTGGAATGATCTAGACTCTGACAGCACCGAGAGGGTGGGAGTGAGACCAGACCCCGCGAAGTGGTTCCCTGGGATGGCGTTGTGGCAAGCAGGGAGGGCCGGGCATTGGTCCCCAATGGGCAGGTGTGATGGGTATGAATCAACAGGCCACGGAGAACGCAAAGGAGGAAGTGAAGCGGATTCTGGGGCTGCTGGATGCTCACCTGAAGACGAGGACTTTCCTGGTCGGCGAACGCGTGACCCTGGCCGACATCACAGTTGTCTGCACCCTGTTGTGGCTCTACAAACAGGTGAGGGTGCAGGGAAGCGTTGGTTCTGCAGGGGCCTTGGGTGGCGGGGGTGGGGGATGACCTTGTCCCTCTGAGTGTCTTGCCGTGGCTTGCTTGTCCCTTGGCGAGCCCTCTTGTGCCTCTGTCTGGAGGCAGAGTGGGAACTTGGATGTGGAGCCTTTGGAAGGCAGATGAGCTCTCGGCCTTCCGGTTAGAGGTGGTGGGGATGGTCTGAGAACGGCTTGAGTTGCAGTTTCCCTTTTTCTAGAGAACCAGGCCAGGATGGCTCCCAAGAGGGTACTGGGTCAGAGAGGACATTGCAGGTCCCTGAACAGCAGCTCCTGGTCCAGAAATGTGACCCAGCCAGAAATGTGACCATAGAGCTCCCATGCTGTGCCGTAGCCTGGGCTGGGACAGGGCATGTGGGGCTGGCTACGGACGGGCAGAAGTGTGAGTGGTGGGATTGCTCCTGCCCACTTCCGTGTCCAGGCCAAGTCGGTTTCCTTTCCTTTCCTTTCCTTTCCTTTCCTTTCCTTTCCTTTCCTTTCCTTTCCTTTCCTTTCCTTTCCTTTCCTTTCCTTCCCCTTCCCCTTCCCCTTCCCCTTCCCCTTCCCCTTCCCCTCTTTCTTTCTTTCTTTCTTTCTTTCTTTCTTTCTTTCTTTCTAAAAAAACCCGCGTGGGCTGGAGAGATAGCACAGCGGGGAGGGCATTTGTCTTGCAGGCGGCCGAACCGGGTTCTATTCCCAGCACCCCATAATGGTCCTCTGAGCAGAGCCAGGAGGAACCCCTGAGCATCGCCGGGCGTGACCCAAAAAGCAAAAAAAAAAAAAACCTGCAAGTTGTTTATTTATTTTGCTTTTTGGGTCATACTCAGCGATGCTCAGGGGTTCCTCCTGGTGGTACTTGAGGGACCATATGTGATGCCGGGAATTGAATCCAGGTTAGCTGTGTGCAAGGCGAACGCCCTCCCCGCTGTACTGTTGCTTTGGCCCCAGTTTTCCTTCCTAGCAACTGCAGAGTGGTAAATGAGCTTTTCGTGAAGTTAAGTTTTGTGTTTTTTGTAGGGGTGGGGGAGGGTTGGGCCTCATCCCGCCATGCTCAGGGATCACTCCTGGCAGGACTCCTTGCACATGGCTGAACCATGGGGTCGGCCATGTGCAAGGCGAGTACTCTCCCAGTTGTCCTTTTTCTCTGACCCCTGAAGTTAAGTTTTAGAGAGCTGAACTGGATTTTTCTTCTGGGGCCGTTGGTACATGGCAGGGCTCAGGGATTCCTCCCGGCAGTGCTTGGAGAAAGATCTGTATTGCAGAGGAACAAACCCGGGTCCCTGCATGCAAGCCAACGCTTCACCCTCTATGCTATTGCTCAAGTCCCGAAACAGGCATCTTTTGATGTTGAATAGTCTTTGCTTTCTCAAGTTTGAAAACACATATAATGCATATACGTATTTGTGTATGTATAAGCGTTAATATGATTACTTTCTTAGCTGACGAAAACTCAAACCAAGATTGGAGGGTTGTGAAGTAGTAATTGATAGCTCTCGGTTGCTCCCTAACTTGTTATTTGGGGTGTCTGTGGGGGGCGGGGCTGAGCCCTGCCCGGCATTTTCCTGGGGACTTTTCACAACTGCTCAGGAATGACCCTCCAAGCTTGGGGAACCATATGTGGAACCGAGGATCTACTTGGTTTGGTCACATGCAAAGCAAGCACGCGCTTTACCTTTTTTTTTTTTCTTTTTTCTTTTTGGGTCACACCCCGCAATGCACAGGGGTTACTCCTGGCTCTGCATTCAGCAATTACTCCTGGTGGTACTTGGGGGACCATATGGGATGCTGGGAATCAAACCCAGGAGGGCCATGTGCAAGGCAAACGCCCTCCCCGCTATGCTCTCGCTCCAGCTCCTTGTCTTACCTTCTGTACCTTTCTTTGACACCTGACCATTTTTGTCTTTGGGGCTCTGGGCTTACTCCTGGCCCTGTTGTCTGGGATCACTCCCTGCGGACTTGGGACCAAAAGGGATGCTGGGGATCGAACGCGGGTCGGAGGTGTGCGAGTCAAGCACCTTAGCCGCTGTGTATCTCTCTGGCCTGTGTTCTTTTTTTCTTTTTTCTTTTTTTTTTTTTTGTAATTTTTGGGTCACACCCGGCAATGCGCAGGGGTTCCTCCTGGCTCTGCACTCAGGAATTACTCCTGGCGGTGCTCGAGGGACCATATGGGATGCTTGGACTCGAACCCGGGTCGGCCGCATGCAAGGCAAATGCCCTACCCGCTGTACTATCGCTCCAACCCCCTCTTGTCCCGTGTTCTTAAATTTTATTACCATGTGACATTCTGAAACTGTGTTTCCCATAGTGGGTGACACTGGGGCACAGGAGGGATATCCGGTGGGGGGAGGCAGACTGTGCAGTTAGGGGACCTGTTCCATTTGTCCTGTTAGAGAGGTAGGTTTTGGGGGTGGGGTGCGCTGAGTGATACTTGGTCTGAAAAGGAGCAGTCTCCCGGATCAGTTTGGGAGCCTCTTTTATTAATTGATTAATTAATTAATTATTGCTTTTTGGGCCACACTTGGCAATGCACAGGGGTTACTCCTGGCTCATGCACTCAGGAATTACTCCTGGCGGTGCTCGGGGGACCATATGGGATGCTGGGAATCGAACCCGGGTCGGCTGCGTGCAAGGCAAATGCCCTACCCACTGCTATTGCTCCAGCCCTGGGAACCTATCTTTCAAAGGGTGGGGATGTGGGCGCTGGAGAGAGAGCACAGCGGATGAGACAATTGTCTTGCATGCACTGGACTGGGATGCACCCTACCCCACCCCCCAGAATGGTGGAGATTTGAGCTCTGTGTGAAAGGACCCGGGTGCTGCCGCCACTGAGGTTTCTGAGTGGTGGATTGGGGTGGAGGGGGGGGCTTGAGGGGCCGGAGCATAGGCGATGCCCACACAGGGCCCTGAATTTGGTGCCCAGCACTGGGCAGTCCCCAGGTACTGTCGGCACTTGAGTGGCAACTCAGGGGCCTGTGCTGAGTGCAGGGAAGGTGAATCAGGGAGATGCTGTTTGAGGGTCAGATGGCGTTGGCAGCTGCTGCCGTGGCATCAGGACGGAACGGGGAGGAGCGTGAACATTCGAGAGTCGCGGGCTCAGAATGCTGACTGGCTTCTGCCCTTCCCTCGGTAGGTTCTGGAGCCTTCTTTCCGCCAGTCCTTCCCCAACACCAACCGCTGGTTCCTCACCTGCATCAACCAGCCCCAGTTCCGGACAGTCTTGGGGGAGGTGAAGCTCTGTGAGAAGATGGCGCAGTTTGACGGTGAGTCTGCGGGTGGAGTGTGCGCCTGGGGCTGCTTTGCTCAGGCTCTCCCCCGCTTTCCTGTCTGGTTTTGGGGTGATGTGGCCCCACAGACCGTCGGTGCTGCCTGCTGGGGCGCGTTCGGTGTGCACACACCCCGTTTCCGAGGATTGGGATTGTGGGGTTTCTTTTTTTGGTGTGTTGGGCCACACCCAGTGATGATGCTCAGGGGTTGCTCCTGGCTCCACACTCAGGAATTACTCTTGGCGGTGCCCTGGGAACCTTATGGAGTGCCGGGGGTCAAACCCGGGTCTGTTAGTCGACGAGGCAAATGCCCTGCCCATTGTACAGTCGCTGAAGCGCTGGGCCTGGTGGTCTTATTCGGACCCCAGAGCTGAAGTCTGGCTGATTTTTTCTTCTTCTCTTTTTGGGTCACACCTGGTTATGCTCAGGGGTTATTCCTGGCTCTGCACTCAGGAATCACTCCTGGTGGTGCTCAGGGGACCAAATGAGATATGGGATGCTGGGCATCGAACCAGAGTCGGCTGCATGCAAGGCCCGACCCGCCGAACTCTCGCTCCCTCCCCTGTGCTTAGCAGTATCTCTTCTATTCCTCTTCACCAGCCAAGAAGTTTGCTGAGAGCCAGCCCAAGAAGGAAACTCCACGGAAGGAGAAGGGTTCCCGGGAGGAGAAGCAGAAGCCCCAGGCCGAGCGGAAGGAGGAGAAGAAGGCAGCGGCCCCTGCTCCTGAGGACGAGATGGACGAGTGTGAGCAGGCCCTGGCTGCAGAGCCGAAGGCCAAGGACCCTTTCGCTCACCTGCCCAAGAGGTAACGGGCCATCTGTCCTCCTGCATGCCAGGGCCGCGACCAGCTGTCCTGACAAGTGAGAGGAGCGTTTGAGTTGCATACACGGCAGCTGGTGTCCACGCTGGGTTTGGAGGGAAAAAGCAAGTGGCCAGAAGCATGCAGTGTTGGGGGGGCGGGGAGGGGCACTTCTTCCGCAGCCCTTCCCCAGAGCCGCCTCCTGTTTGGATGAGTGTGACCAGGAGAGAAGGGAGGGGTGACGACGTGGGGTCTGTGTGCTTCCCCTTGAGGGGACAGGGTTGCACATCCATGGGAGGGTCCTCTGGCCTCTTCAGCAGATTGGGTTCATGGGCAGAATGCTAGGTTTTTGGGTGAACCAGGTGCCCGTCTGTGTCGTCGTTAACTCTTCAGTGACTACCCCAGGCGTCCTCCCTTCTCTGTCCCCTCTGACCCGCCTCCTTTCAGTGGTAAGCAGGCACTGTCAGCTGCAGGCTGCTGGAAGGTTCTGGCTAGGTTAGAACCTTTGCTTCTCTTTCTCCAGACCACCACTGGGAAACGCATATGGTGGCCGGGCCACACCCGCCGGTGCTCAGGGCTCAGAGAGCACATAGGGTGCTGGGGACTGGAGGCTGTGTCAGTCATGCGCAGGGCCAGCACCTTCCCCACTGTTCTCCCCAGTCCAGCATGTGTTTATTTTGTAAACTAAAGTGATTTTCTCTGAGGCCAGTGAGCAGGAGTTTGGGCACATACAAGTAAGGGACCTTTGTGATGTTTATCATTGGAATGGAGGGACTCTGCAGATAGAGGTGGTTTGTTTGTTTTTTCTCTTTTTTGGCTGGGGGGACACCTGGCCTCAGAGCTCACTCCTGATGGGGTTCTGGCGCCTGGGAGTGGACCCAGGTCAGCTGTGTGAGGCCAGTGCCGTACTGTCCTTGTTCTGAGGGGGCCACCCGCAGTGATGCTTGGTACGGTTTCCTTTGGGGCCCAGCTGGTGGTGGGGCCTTCCAGGTCACCTGGTGATGCCGAGGGGCCGCGTTGGTGGAAATAGTCACTGACCAAGATAGGCCAGTCCCCCTAGTGCCTTAACTGAGGGTTTTCACAAAAAGTCTTCTTCGGGGCAATAGCACAACGGGTAGCGTGTTTGCCTTGTGCGCGGCCGATTCTGGTTCGATCCCCAGCATCCCATATGGTCCCCCAAGCATCCCCAGGAGTAATTCCTGAGTGCGGAGCTAGGAGTAACCCCTGGGCATCGCCGGGTGTGACCCAAAAACCAGATTGACTCTGGATTGAAAAATAGGCGGTAAAGTCCAATCTGTTTTGGTGCTGGGGTGGAACCATGGCATCAGGCATGCGAGGACACTGCCCCGAGCCCCATCCCAGGCAGTACAGGCTGATCTCCCATAGTCGCTGCAGTTCTGGGTCCAGGGCTCCGTGGGCTGCGCACTGCGTGCAGGGTGGCTGGGCCCCCTACCCAGCATGGCTACGGCTCTAAGGTCACTCCTGGTCTGTGCTTAGGGATTCCTCCTGTGAGCTGCAGGGACCCTAGGTGGTGCCGGGGATCCCACTGGGGTTGGCTGCATCCAAGATAGTCTCGTATCCTCTAGGAGGGTTCGTTAAGGCCCGTTGATTGTGCTGCCTTGATGCTTTACAGGGCCGCCAAGGTGGTTTTTCCTGTCAGACAGTATAAGACCTTCAAAGAGCAAAGACTTATTTTGTGTTTTGGACGACATCTTGGGAGACCTGAAGGGGTACTGAGTCATCAGTGCATAAGACATGCTTCCTACCTACTGTGCTATCTCTCCAACCTCCCAAAGACTGGTTCAAGTCAATCCTAGTCCTTTTATTTTATTTACTGGTCATGCTCCTGGCTTTGGGTTGGAGCGATTAGCACAGCGGGTAGGGCATTTGCCTTGCACGTGGCTGACCTGGCCGACCCAGGTTCGAATCAGAGCCCGGCAAGCTACCAAGAGTATCCCGCCTCCATGGCAGAGCCTGGCAAGCTCCCCATGATGTGTTCAATATGCCAATCACAGTAACAAGTCTCACAATGGAGACTTTATGGGGCCCGCTTGAGCAAATCGATGAACAACAGGAGGACAGTGACAGTGACTCCTGGCTCTGCACTCAGGAATTACTCTTGGTGGTGCTTGGGACACTATATAGGATGCTGGGGATCAAAACTGGGTCAGCTGTGTGCTAGGCTAACGCCCTCTCTTTTAGTCCTTTTCTATTTCTTTATTAAATTTATTTTGGGTGTTTGGGCAACCTGGTGGTACTCAGGGCTTACTCCTGGTTGTGCACTCATTGATCACTCCTGGTGGGGCTTAGGAGATCATGTGGGGTACTGGGGATTGAACCCAAGCTGACTACCTGCAGGGCAAACTCCCTGTTCTGGTACTGTCATGCTGGCCGCAATCCTAGTCCTTCCAGTGGCCATCCCTGCAGTCACTGACTCATTGCTGTTCAGAGATTGGTCTCTTGGGATAATGGACAAAATGTATGAATGCAAAGTGCAAATGGTTCGGAGAGGTGTGAAGGAAATGTTTCCCAAGTCTGCTCTGGGAGACATTTGATTTTGTTGTTGTTGATTTTATTTCTGTCTCTGGGCGGGTCTCAGGCCTGACTCCTGGCTCTGTACTCGGGTCACCCCTGGCATGGCTCGGGGACCATACTGTGCTGGGGATCGAGCCAGTGCCTTGCCTGAGCTCTCTCTAGTCTCTGTAGCTGAGACTTTTGCAGGATTCAAGCACCTCCGCACGCTCAAGGCTAGTTCTCCATCACTGCATTAGCCCCTGGCCTTCCGGCCCTGTTGAATTTCTTTAGAATGTGGTACTGGGGTTGAGTCCAGTCCTGCACACTCCCGATGAAACCTTGCGTTAAAAGACGGGTTCTTGTGCCAGAGACTGGGGTGCGTGTTTTGTGTCGGAACCCTGGGCCCATTCCCCACAATCACATGGTGTGCCGGAGCATCCCTGGATGTGGCCCCCAAATGTGCCCAGCTGGGGCTGATTCCATGGGGCATCTCGAATGTGGCTCAGTGGTAGAGCCCGAGGCTTTACGGGAGTGAGGCCCTGGCTTTCATCCCAGCACTGGGAAGGATCTGCTGTCTGCCCAGAGGACCCTGTGCGCGTCCCACGGCTTTTAATTTTTAATTTTTTAATTGATTTTTATTACATTTCATCTTATTTTCATCCACCTCACTCCCACTCCCAACTCCCTTACAGCAGACTCTGATCCAAAGGAAAGATTTCGTTGAACCTTGAACAGTTCATACACCACGCGGAGGGGTTGATTCCAATCCATCCCCTACCCCCAAGTAAAAAACAAAAAACAAAAAAACCCCAAAATGTCTTTCTTTTGCCAAATTTGGGTGACAGAATCTTCCCTGGGTGAGCACTGCTCCCCAGGGTGTAGCGGCAGACAGGTTTTGAGTCTCTTGTGGAGCAGCCTCTTTGCAGCTGGGTTAGGATATGGGCGCGGTTTCGGAGCCTGAACTTGGGGGGCTGTCAGGCGAGGGACCTTTAGTGAGTCTTCAGGGACCTCCCTGTCTTGGGAAGGCAGCACAGTAAGCAGATGGGTGTTTGGCGTGGGGGAACATGCCTGCGACCCCGACTCTCCCTCTGAACTGTTCATATCTGTAAAAGGTGTCCCAGGGCTTAGACCTCTTGGGAAGAGGGAGAAGGGGGGGGTCCGGTTGAGAGGCAGGTGATCCTTACAGCATCCCTTAGGAGTCACTGAAACATCCAGGAAAGGATGAGCAGACTGACGGCCCATTCATGCCGGAGCCATCGTGGTACTTCACGGGACCGGAGCAGTGCTCAGTGGGCCGGGCACGTGCCTTGCATGCTGCAGCAGGGAAGAGTTCGATTCCCCAGCACCCCCTACGGTCCTTCAAGGCCACCAAGAGCGATCCCTGAGCTCAGAGCCAGGAGTAAGCCCTAAGCACTGCCATGCCAGCTGTGGCCCCCAAACAAGAAGTGGGGCTGGAGCAATAGCACAGCCGGTAGGGCGTTTGCCTTGCATGTGGCTGACCCGGGTTCGATTCCCAGCATCCCATATGGTCCCCCGAGCACCGCCAGGAGTAATGCCTGAGTGCAGAGCCAGGAGGAACCCCTGTGCATTGCCGGGTGTGACCCCCCCACAAAAACCCACAAAAACAAGAAGCAAGAGTCCCACTTAGAGCACTGCTGGGAACACAGAAACGTTGGCACAAAAATGACATACAGTAACTTTGGAACTTTGCCTTCAGGAAGTGAAAGCATATCAGTCTGCTGGCCTATTCAGTCTGCTGGCGTTGTGGGTGGTATCCTTCTGTCTTTATGTTTTCATCATTGGGAAGAAAAAAAGGGGTAACAGGGAGCTAAGTGAGCCCTTCCAGCAGGGGCCAGGCCTCCTGTATTGACCGACCTTCAGGATGACTCCACTGGGCAGATTGTTTCAAAGAAAACTTTCAAAGTTCCTAAGTTGAAAGGTCTCTCAACTTAGGAACTTGTTTCTGGAGAGAGATGGAAGGATCTGGGCTAAGCCTTGGGGTGGAGGCCCTTTGGAAATAGCAGGAGCTTACACTGTGGGTATGTAACTCAAAGAGGCCTCTGTGATTGCGGGGGCAGGAGATGGAGAGGAGAGACATGAGTGATTGAGTGACCAAGTATGACTCACCGAGGGTATGACTGACCAAGGGTGGGGAGTGGCTTTTACAGGGGAGGGCAAAAAAGAAAAAAAGGAACTAGCTGCCTCATTCCGTGTCTCCACCAGGGGGCAGCAGTCAGCCGTGCCAGTTCCTCCAAAGGTCTCCCTGGGGCCCCTTTCTTGGGTCCCACCCTCTTCATGCCTAGCATACTTAGACGAGGGGTGAGGAGCAAGGGTGCGCCCTGGGCCCCTGTTTATACTCCTGCTCGCTTCCCCCGGAAGGTCATGCACCTCAGTGGGAACACCCTTGCTTCCCTTCCCCAGCCGCCTTGGCCTCCTCACTAGGAACGCGCCCCCCACCCCCTGCTGACCCGACTTGTTGACTTGTTTCCCCAACCAGTACCTTCGTGATGGACGAATTCAAACGCAAGTACTCCAACGAGGACACGCTGTCGGTGGCGCTGCCGTACTTCTGGGAGCACTTCGACAAGGACGGCTGGTCCCTGTGGTTCTCCGAGTACCGCTACCCCGAGGAGCTCACCCAGACCTTCATGAGCTGCAACCTCATCACAGGTGCCGAGAGGGTGGGTTGGGGGCGGCGGGAGGCCGGCGGGACTGGGGAGCCAGGGGCCTGACCAGGCCGCACGTCCTCCCTCCCTCGCGCTTCCAGGGATGTTCCAGCGGCTGGACAAGCTGAGGAAGAACGCCTTCGCCAGTGTCATCCTCTTCGGAACCAACAACAGCAGCTCCATTTCTGGCATCTGGGTCTTCCGCGGCCAGGAGCTGGCCTTTCCGGTGAGGACGGTGTTCGGGGAGGAGGTGTCCAGAGTGGGGGGAGCGAGGGGATAGAACAGGGTCAGGGGTGGGAGACACTTCAGCACTGGGCTGCAGCAGAGTAGGAGAAGTGTATTCAGGAAAGAGCTGACCGTTGCCCAGAGCCCTGGGGCCTGGTGGCATGTGTCATGCTGTGCACGTTCACGCTGGTCACCTGACCTCAACACTTTCCTCCTTTCCCTCCCCAGCTGAGCCCTGACTGGCAGGTGGACTACGAGTCGTACACATGGCGGAAGCTGGACCCTGGCAGCCAGGAGACCCAGACGCTGGTCCGAGAGTACTTTTCCTGGGAGGGGTCCTTCCAGCATGTGGGCAAAGCCTTCAATCAGGGCAAGATCTTCAAGTGACCATCTCTTGCCGTTGCCGCGCCGCCTACACCTGCCCTTCAGGGAGATGGGGGTCATTAAAGGAAACTGAACATTGAACCCTGTCTTGTGAGCCTGACTTCTTCGGAGGGCGGCCAGTAGGTGGAGGCCAGCAGGGGCCTTCCCTGCCGCAGGAGAGACCTTCAGAAGAGCTGGAGGCGGCCACAGTGGTGACTTGGTGGCCTCCCAGGGAAACTAACTGGACACAGTTGGTGACTTGAGGCTCTACCTGACCCTTGGGGACCCGATTCCAAACCTTGCCTCCTGAAAGACTGGGGTCTTCCTTTAAGGGTGGGAAGAGCGAGCAGAGGGCGCTGGTTCTGCGGGGCTCTGAAGACCACCCCAGGCTAGTTGGGGATGCGTACACTCAAGTGGGTAGGCCGGGCATGAGGCTCGCTGGCAGAGCACAAGCATGCCTTCCGTGCGTGAGTTCTTGGGGTCGGGCCTTGCAGTGGAAGTCAGGAAGGTGGTTTGGTTTGTTGTCCTCCGGGAGAGGGGTGTGGGAGTCCCCGAGCAGTGCCTGGGAGCTGCTCCTGCCTCCGCTTTGGGCCATTTCCAGGTGCCCGGGGTTCCACTGAGCTTTTACCCTGGCTCATGAAATCAGTAACTTGCCAATAACGCACGTCAAGGGGCAGGTGGCAGGTTGGCAGCCCCGTGGTGGGTGTCATTGAAAGCTGTGCCCTAAAATGCCCCTCTGCCTGCCCAGACATGGGGTTTGCCATTTTCTCTCGTTTTTTTTTCTCTTTGGATAACGCCCGGCAATGATGAGGGCTTCCTCCTGTCTCTGCACTCAGGAATCACTCCTGGTGGTGCTCAGGGGACCATATGGGATGCTGCTGGGGATCAAACCCAGCTTGGCCGTGTGCAAGGCAAATGCCCTCCCCGCTGTGCTATCGCTTTAGCCCCACGCCATTCTCTCCTTGAAACTTTGTTTTTCAGATTTTTACCCCTGTTGTCCTATTGGGGTCTGTTTCTGGGTTGGAGGCCATGCCCAGCAGTGCTCGGGGCTTGTTTCTGACTATACACTCACTGATCATTCCTGGCAGATTTGAGGTAACCGGGTGCTGGGGATTGAACCAGGGTCACTGGCATACAGCAAATGCCGTACCCACTGCACTAGGACTCCTCCCCACATTGGCTTTTCTGAAGAGGACTTCCTGTAAAGAACAGCCGCTCTGGGGAATTGGGACCCTTGGTTTGGCTCTAGAGGCTTATGCTGGAATTCGTGACCCTTTGGGCTCCAGGTTATGGCTTTTTGCTATTGGGGTCACACCCAGCATTGCTCTGGACTCCTGGCTCTGCACTTGGTGATCACTCCTCACTGCTTGGGACCACGTGTGGTGCTGCGGATTGAACCTGATTGGGTTGCATTCAAGGCAAATGTCCTAGTGTCCTCGCGCTCTGGCCCCCAGAGTATGGCTTTAACTCTTCTTGCCACGCCCTGGGTTCTCACCACAGGTCCAAGGGGCCGGTGGCTTGCCAGAGGGGAAGGCAGCAAGCCTGCAGGCTTCTGCAAACAGGCTGAGAGGTGTTGAGGCTTGGAATCCAGCTGGGTGAGGATGGGTTGGTTCTTGCAAGGAGTTGGCTCCCAGCGTGGCTATCTGTCATGCCTCTGAGCACCGAGGACTCCGCGGATAGGATCTGTTTTCTGGGGTGTGCCCCTGGGCTGGTTGCTGGGGCCTCGCGGAACCTGTCAGACTCCCCGTTCCAAATTCCCTTTCCCACCACACCCCCTTCTCCCATGCCAGTTTTCTTCTCCACTGCCTTTTCCCCAGCATCGCTGAAGATTCAGGCTGAAGATTGAGTGCTGACGTTGAGCAATCAGGTGTAGGTGCTAGGGGGCCTAGGGACCCTGGACCCTGCGGGAAAGGCGGAAGGTCGCGCAGGTGGGTCAGTTTTCAGCTCTGCAGGCCTGGCAACCCACGTGGACGGGTCTCGGCTGGAAGGGCCTGGTTCAGAGTCTGCGGAAGAGTGACTCATCCGCACGTCCTGCCTCTGGACTCCAGCTCCGGCGGCCTGGTGCAGAGGAAGGCGGCCAGAGGCCTCCTGGCCTGTGCCCGGGAGGCGGTGGGTGGGGAGGAAGGACCCGGGGCGTCCAGCGGCCGCAGGAAGGCTCGCTACTAGCCTCCAAAATGGGGTGCGGCGGGGCCAGAAGGAGGTTAACAACAGGGGTTCCTAGCGGCAGATTCGGGGCGGGAAGAGGTGAAGAACATCTGGACTTGGTTAGGGCCCGCCCTGCCCCGCGGAGGCCTGAGTCATGCACCACAGGGGCTTGAAAACTCGCACCCGCCCCGTAGGAACCCGGGCCGGGCCGCGGCGAGACCGCCTCTCCCGGAGCCCCGCCCCTCGGTGGGCGGGGCCCTCGCCGCAGCAGCCAATGAGGAGCGGCGCCTGGGTGACGTCAGCGGTTGCTGGGTGTTTTTTCCGACGTGCCGAGAGGCCAGTGTCCTGCTCGCACTGGGCACCGTGTGCGGGCGGCGGTGGGGGGCTCGTGGCGGAAAGGGCAGGGGGGCCGGGAGTCCCTCGGGCCTGGGAGGAGGCGGCTGCTTCCACCCGCTGACCCAGCCTGCAGGGCCGGAGGCAGAGACGCCTCCCCCGAGCCTTGGGCTGCAAATAAAACCTTCGCAGTGCAGGGGAAGGCCGGACCTGGCGTTGGCTGGTAGATGGACCGGTCGATACTGGTCCGCAGCCGCTATTTATTTTAGCCTTGTGGGCGCTTCAGCCTAAGTCACTTATTAAAGTAAGTGACTGGGTCTTTAAAGCTCTTCCAAGAGAGGCTTAGGTTGGGGGCTGGAGCGATAGCACAGCAGGTAGGGCGTGTGCCTTGCACGCAGCCGTCCAGGGTTTGATTCCCAGCATCCCGTATGGTCCCCCGAGCACCCCGCCAGGAGTAATTCCTGAGTGCCTGAGCCAGGAGGAACCCCTGTGCATCTCTGGGTGTGACCCAAAAAGCCAAAAAAAAAAAAAAAAAAAAAAGACCTAGGTTATCTCCTCTTGGGCACTTGGGCACGTCCTGGCCTGAGCTGAGCTGAGCTGGACAGCTGCTACTCTGGCTTGGGGCAGACCCACCCCACCAGCTGCCCACATGCCCCAAATGTGCCACTTCCTCTTTTGAAAGGTGGGGGAAGGGTCCAGAATGTTGAAGGGACTGAAGGGAGGCCCCACCCAGTCATTTCTGAAATTAGTCCTGGGGTTCTCATGGCAACCCACATACTGGGCCTAACAACTCAGAACTTTCTCTCTGCTTGCCCAGTGGGGCATTTCCTGGGCACTGCAGCTTCCTGCAGCCCCTCTGCCCCTCCCCGCCACCCACACACTTGGACCTCCCCGGCTTGCTTTGGTCCTCAGCAGGTTTGAATGGAATTCTCGGGGACCCACCCACCCCCTTCTCGAGTCTTCCCCAAATGCCAGGGAAGCTAAAATGTTGGCGCTCCGGAAAGGTTAGAGAAACTGTGCCACCTGCTCTTGTCTGTTTGCTCCGAACAGGCTCGGCTGGCAGGGCTCCCGGAATAGGCTGTCATTTTCCGCCAGTGAAATTACCGGGGTGCCCCAGCCCCTCCACACCCCAGGGATGGGTGGAGTGGGGGCTAAATGTGGGTCCTTGGAGATCAGCAGCATTTTATCGGCTTGAATGTAAATCCTAAGAGGGAGTATTCATCAGGTAGATGGGACCGGTTCTGTCAGCGGTGTCCCTGGAGACCCAGGAATTTGCGAATCTGCTGTCCCTACACCTGCCTCTGGGCGCCCCCTTCCTTGGGGTGCTGCCCCCCCCCACCCCATCCTGCAGCCCTGCCCCTCTTTTGTCTTGATTTCTCCTCTCTGTTCTCCAGGAGTTCAAAGCAAGCCTGCAGCCAGGCAACCCAGCAGAACTGGGGCTGGAGGGTCCGAGTTCGGGGCTATTAACAACGGGATGGGCCCTGGAATGTGCTGGAATGTGCGGGGCCCCCTCCCCTGGGCAGTAGAAACAGCTGTCACGTGAGGTCCTCTTGGCTGCCTCAGCCCTTTTGCAATCCCTCGTTGGCTCTGCCAGGACTCGGGTGGAGAGTGAGAATGGCCAGAGCTGGGGGCTTAAAGAGGGGACCTGCCAGCAGGGGTGGGTGGGTGGGTGGGTGGGGGAATGGAGCCCAGGAGCCTCAGGGTGGGGGGTAGGTAGGGCTGTAGAGTTGAGAGAAGGCAGGATGGCATGGTGGGGTGGGGTTGCCAGCAGCCCAGCCTGGCAGAGGGAGGTCGGATGGGGAGCTCAGGGTGCCCAGCAGACGAAGGGGGGTGCTGGTCGGGCTTCCGAGGTGTCAGGGGAGCAGGTGATAGTGGGACCCTGACCAGTCATCCTTCTGAGTCACCAGGAGCCGGGTGCCCTCCTGCCGGTCGAGGACCGGCCTCTGCTGGCCTGAGTCACCAGGTTGCCGAGGGTGTTGGCTGCCCTGTGGTGGCAGTGCCTGTGCCCTACTCCACCCACTCCCACTGTTAGGACAGGGTGAGCAAACACGTCCTTCCTAGCCCACTCTGCCCCCAGTCCCTGCCACCGCTGGATCAGGCTTTGACTCAGGCTGACAGAATGTACCTCCCGGAGGGATTGCCCAAGCGGGCCGAGAGTGCCCACGAGGAGCGGGGCTGAGAGGGGAAGTGACTTATCTCGGGTGCACGCTCGCTTGTCTTTCCACGGTGCGCTCAGCCGCTCGTGACTCACTGGGACTCCCAAGAATAGCAGGAGGGCTGAGGCCACCCCACGGAACCAGACCCATGAGGCCTGGGGATGGGGGGGGGGGGCGGCGAGGGAGGCCCGGCCGAATCCTGGGGCTCGGAGTGGGCTAAGAAGCCGAGAAGTGGAGCATGTTCCCCGGGGCCGGGCCAGGCCCAGGGATCCAAGTCCTGGACGGCCAGAGGGCACTGGGTGTAGCAGAGGCGGGACTTCGAGTGACAGGAACCTCAACTATGCAGTGACTCAGGCCCCTTCCTTCCCTGCTCAGCCCAGTCATTTTCAACAGGCCTTGGGAAGGGTGAGCAGAGCAGGGAGGAAATGGGGGTGCTCCTGGCTGCCTCCCCCCACCCCTAACTAGGGA